TGCTGAGTTGACACCTGTGGATAAAAGCAGCGTCAGTGTGAGAGAAGAGCTCACACTGATACTGATTCACTAGCAAATGATCAGGTTTGAAATGTAATAATATTTTCTGTTGTGGTAGAAATATGACACAGGCTGAGACAAGTGGTTCCTTAGACCTTCTTGCAGATCACACAGAAGATTGTGTAGACGGTGATTTAAAAGAACCATTGATAGGCAGTACAGTGAGACCCTTTGTTTGTGCTATGTTTTGTGGGGTGAGGATTGTAACATTCAAAATTGTATCCTTGTTTTAGAAATCTATAAACATCACACTGGACTCTAAATGCAGACTGTTCCAGAACCTGCACGGAGCCCTTGGTGAGTACAGCACTGAAAGGAACAGAACGTGAACTAAAGTACTGTAGTGTCTGCTTTTAACAAGGTACATTTTCTGCTGCTGTTTAAGAAATGCTAGAGAACTAGTTTTTTAACATTAATTAGAAAACTTTCCTGAAACCAAATCTTTCTGAACATGTGGGTCATGTGAGATACTGCTGTTAAAAAAATGTGTACCTTGAATTTTGTCTTGTTTAAGCTGGGATTTTATTTCCCGCACTGATAATATCAAATACCCAACAAAGAAGTATCGAATACACTGGCCTACCTTTGTTTGATACCTTGTCCTACTTCCAATGGAAAATCCCACTAATACGAGAGAGGTTGTCGGACATCTGCGGTTCTTTTTGTGGGACACCCTGTATTTACATTTGTGCATCACTACGAAGCATGTACATAGTATAGTTAAATGGAGTGAAATGGCTGATACGTCATCTGTGTAGGTACTGTGGGTGCAGCTGCATGTTTAAACATGAGCCAAGCTCTAAGCTCTCTTTCTGCAGGATTTTTTTTCCTCTCAGAAAGGAATTTGTAAGTCGTCTGTGAGACGGATGTGCCAAAGCTCACAGAGAGACACAGAGAGTGTCCCAGGCATTAATGGTTTCCCCGAGGACAAACTCATACCACAAATCCTCACTCTGTGAGGACTTTTTTTTATTACCAACAGATTGTTGTCAAGACAAGCCATCATCTTTACATTGCATAACCAGACATAAAACGGAAACCTCTAAATGTGGTACATGTTGGGTCTGATTGATGTATATGCTTTGACTTTTTTTATAACTGAAATAAGCATCATCATGATCTCACAGCTTTATATGTTTTCTGAATCATATTAGCCTACAAGACAGAAATTCAGTTGTCCAGAGTTTAGCCAGAAACAACTTTAGCCTGTCAGGACCAAGGTGCTGCTGGTCCATTGTTGCCTCCATTGTTAACTCAGAACTATGTCGGTAAATCTGATTGAAGCTTGTGAGATAGATACATGAATCACTGCAGCTGCAAAAACCAATAACTCCCGTGTGCTGTAAGCTGACAGTGAGGCTGATTGAATGGTTTGCTAAGTCAAAAAAAATATGACAGATCAAACACCAACTGAAGGTAGTATTTGCTAAAAAGGAATGGTATAATCAAGGAAAAAATATCCATCATTATCAAACAGCCAATAATTTACCAGTCTGAGAATAGCTACAAATACAACGCCAGAACTGAGGGACAGAACTGTGTTTGTGTTTTTCCAGATGAGGTGGTGCTGAAATTTGAGGATAGTCATGTACGAGCCAGAAATGTACTCTATGATACTCTGCCCGTCATCATCCATGGGAACGGACCGACCAAGGTATTGTTGTTTCCAAACTTTCTCTGGAGCGTCTCCTTTGTAAAAATGACTATTGTGCTGTTGGCTTTTCAGTGAACTTTGAGTTTATTTTGATCCCTTTTGTATACAGAGTCTCACTTTGAGATACAGTATCTCAGATATCTGAGATATGATCATTATGTTGCTGTTGTTTTGACAGCTGCAGCTCAACTATCTTGGAAACTACATCCCCAACACGTGGACGTTTGAGACAGGATGCACAGTTTGCAATGAGGATCTCAGGCCTCTCACCGCTTTAAAGGTTTGGTCCCAGATCTTTTTTGTGATTGATGACAATAAACAGTTCTTCAACTAAATCTAAATGTTCTGGCACTTTCCATTGATTTTTGCTAAAGCTTACACAGATGGTTTTCTGCCTGTGTGATATTTCTTACCCCACAGGAGAGTGAATACCCTCTAGTGGTAATAGGCATCTTCATCCGACAGCCCACTCCATTCGTCACAGTTTTCTTTGAACGCCTACTGAAGTTGCAGTATCCCAAGAACAGGCTAAAACTCATCATCTTCAACCAAGTAAATCTGCGTCATACTTTTTCAGTTTTAAAGTTGGCAGAAAACTACATTTTCAATTGTATGTCTTCCCTCCTTCTTCCAGGAGCCTCATCACGAAAGTCACGTGAGCTCCTTCCTACGGGATCATGGGAGTCTGTATCAGGATGTCCGTGTCTTTAGTCCAGAGGAGGAAATGAAGGAAGCTGCCTCACGCAACTTGGCCTTGTGAGTTGGATTTTCAGAGAATGCTTTGTGTTAATGACTTAAATAAACGATGACAAGTGTACCTCGTCTGTACATTTAAGGATGTGGACTTTACTGACCATGTGGATCAATGTGTCTTTGTCTACTTTCAGCGACATGTGCCGTAAGGACCATGACTGCGAATACTTCTTCAGCATAGACATTGAAGTGGTCCTCAAGAACGAGAACACGCTGAAAATACTTATCGAACAAAACCTGTGAGTAAATATATGAGTATAATATGTCAGCCATTTTGGTGTTTTATTAATTAATTAATTAATATTATTTATTAATTATGATTGAATTGTATGCTATTTTGATATTTGGAAAAAATAATTCTACTTCTCACACATTGCTTTTTCTTCTTGCTCATCTTGAAATGCTTTTGCAACAATACTTTCAGTTTTTTTTCGGCCAATGTGATTGAAAGTCTGACTTTCTTCCTGTGTAGGCCCATTGTGGCACCGATGATAACTCGAGTTGGTCGTCTGTGGAGCAACTTCTGGGGAGCGCTCAGTGCTGAGGGTTACTACGCCAGGTCTGAGGACTACGTGGACATTGTTCAAGGACGCAGAGTGTAAGCTGCAGAAATTTTGTTCTTCAAATTCAACAAACAGTTGGAATGACATGAAGGTTGAAAGAAAGATCAACATACTGTATTATTATTATTATTATTATTATTAATAATAACAATGTCACTCATTACATGTGATCCAAAGAGCTGTTTTAATTCACACAAGAAATACATTGAGTGTTGTCGTGGTGTTACTTTAACTACAGTCAACTTGTGATCAAACATGTATCCATTTGTTGCATGTTAGGTGTAGTGTGTGTGTCTAATGGTAACCTACAACTGTGTTGGTGTTCAGGGGTGTGTGGAACGTCCCATATGTGACTAATGTGTACTTGGTGAAGGCAAGTCTCCTGAGATCAGACCTGAAAGAATACGAGCTCTTCGACTCACACATCTTGGACCCAGACATGGCGTACTGTCATAACGCACGCAACAAGGTGGGGAAGAAACCGTATCCTTGTTACATGAGCCAATCAGAGCTATGTTTGTTTGTTTGGAGGTGCGACATCTAAATAGAGAGAGAATAAATGACTGACACCTATTCAGTAGGACAGGTACAGACGGAATATGAAACAAATACATATGGAATTAATGCTACAAATAAATACACCTGAGGACGTAAAATATGTTGTAAAACTATAACTAAAATATGAAATTATATTTGTCATAGCCTCTTGTCAAATTTTAATACTATTATATCTATGTATTAGTAAATGAGTAATCATACTTAATAATTTGTTGTAATCTTATCAGTCATAAAAATTAGACTGAAATATTTTTGAAAACTTAAATTAAAAATTAAAGTCCTTTTGACTTAATCTGGACTAAGACTAAGTTACAGTTAAGTCAGAGACTTAGTCGAAATTGCCTGTCAAAATGAACACAGAGAAGGAATCTACTTTGTATCTATAGTTACATGTTCAACCCATGTAACACCCAAAAAACAGTTATGTTTAGAACAAAATCATTGTGTAAATTTTTAAGTACATTTAAGTTGATCTTATATGTTGTTTTACTTTGTGCACTTGTTGTTGCCAAATATCATTTCTTATCTAATTATGTGGATTTTTCTCTCCAGGGAATCTTTATGTTTGTAACCAACATGCAAACATTTGGTCGAATCCTGTCGACTGAGAACTATCAGACCAAGCACCTTCACAATGACCTGTGGCAGATCTTTGAAAACCCACTGGTGAGTGACTCTGTCTCTATGTCTGTCCTTCAGCCAGACAAGCTCTGGTCATGATGCCTCTGTTTATGGCAGTGTCAGAAATCAAACAACAGGTGTGTGTTCATTCCAGGACTGGGAGGAACGCTACATTCATGAGAACTACACACACATTGAGAAAAACAAGCTGATAGAAACTGTGAGTTCTCACATTCACACGTTACACCAAATAACGTCCTCAGTACAGACAGGAAAACCTCTACTGACTTTGTTCCGTGTCTCCTGTCCATCAGCCCTGTCCTGATGTTTACTGGTTCCCTATATTCACCGATGTTGCCTGTAACCACATGGTGGAGGAGATGGAAAACTTTGGGCAGTGGTCTGGAGGTGCCAATGTGGTATGATGATGTGTGTGTGTGTGTGTGTGTGTGTGCAACCACCTGTCTGGTGTTTGTTTAGCTATACTTGTGGGGACACATTGTCCTTGTCAGGACATTTTCCAGGTCCTAATCACAAAAAATGCTATTTTGAGTCTGGTGTCCTACCAAAAACCTCTTGTGGTCTCTCTAAATTAACCACGGGTATGAGTGTGACCCTGTGTGGGACTGAACTACCAAGGATGTGTTCTGCCCTCACTTGGTGACTGCTAAGACTAGCCTCAGTTCACCTGTAAACTAGGATTATTAAGTAGTAGAAGATGAAAAATTTAATAAGGTTTTTTTGTTGTTGTTTTCAGGACACCAGAATCCAAGGTGGCTACGAGAACGTGCCCACTATCGATATCCACATGAATCAAATCAACTTTGAAAGGGAATGGCATAAATTCTTACTGGAGTACATTGCACCAATAACAGAGAAAATGTTTCCTGGTTATTACACCAAGGTAAGGGGTTGAACTCTCCACCCAGTCTGAACATTAAGCTAGCTGACATGGTTGTTTCTGACAATGACTCACTCTGGTTTATCTTGTCTCCTTAGTTTTTACTTTTTACTGTAAAGATCAGGCACGTAGGACAGGTACAGACGGAATATGAAACAAATACATATGGAATTAATGCTACAAATAAATACACCTGAGGACGTAAAATATGTCGTAAAACTATAACTAAAATATGAAATTATATTTGTCATAGCCTCTTGTCAAATTTTAATACTGTTACATCTATGTATTAGTAAATGAGTAATCATACTTAATAATTTGTTGTTATTTGTCATAAAAATGAGACTGGAATATTTTTGAAAACTTAAATTAAAAATTAAAGTCCTTTTGACTTAATCTGGACTAAGACTAAGTTACAGTCAGGCACGTTCAAAGTCTGGCCCAGGGGCCAATTGCGAACTGTGGTCAAGTTTTACACGGCCCGCAGCCTATGTCATTAGATGACATATTTAATGGTTTAAAGAATGGGTGGTCTTTGCACATGTCCACTTCAAAACAAAACCATTGATGACATGAGGTGACTCCCGGTGATGAATGTAAATGTGTATGATAACACTAGAGTTTTCTGTTTCCCTGTTCACGTGGGTGGTAATCTTGCAGTGCATGTTGGTCTTTAATCTCCAGGCGCTGAGATCATTCATATAATTTGCTTCCTGAGAAATGTTGATGTTCAAAAAGTCATTTCTTCCTGTTTACAGGTATTCTCTATGTGGTAATCTTAGTAGCAAGGAATTGGAAACACCCAATTATAATACAGTATATTTGTTTACCTTATATATTTTGTTTACTGTATCTGCTTCAGAACGACACTGTAAAGCCTTACAGTTGAAGACTAACGTCAACATCTGCTAACATTATTGCCATATTTAAAATATACTATCTCCAAGTGGATGTGTTAGTTTTGAAAATGGCATCAAATTGGAATTCAATTAAACAATAGGCCTTTAATACTGGAAAGATGGTGTAAGCAAGGATACGTCCTACGTTTCGTCAGGATCTAAAAATGAAGGTTACAGAAGACTGTGTAGCAGTGATGGAAAATAGAGATGGCAAACATGTTTTTGGCTGAAATATTTCAGGTTTTTATGTTTAATATTCAAGTTCACAGTTTTTAGCAATTTCTACCTCTTGTTTAGCCTCAACAACAAGACGGACTTTTAAAAATGTTAAAAGTGTAAAGTCAGGTGTTTTGTCTATCTCTTCGATCGGTCCCTGCTGTTGCCTCTGTGTGTACTGCTGACCACCATGTCTTCTCTCATCAGTGTTCCACTCCCTTGAACTTCGTGGTGAGGTATAAACCTGACGAGCAGCCGCTGCTCGAGCCTCACCATGACGCCTCCACATTCACTATTAACATTGCTCTCAACAGCAAAGACATTGACTACCAGGTAAATGGAGAACAGGTGACGGCTGGTAAATGGAGCTGCGGGACATGAAGATGAAGATGAGGATGTTGATGATGATGCAGATGCAGGTTGTCTGCGTCTCTCTGTCTCTATATCTCTGCTTCTCTACTCTTCTTCCTGGAAGTGAATGCTGGGATAGGAACCAAGCTGATGCTTGTCTTTAACAGAGCAGGAGCTGCGAAGGGGCGCATACGTGAGGAGTGTGTCCACACACTCGATGTCTTTGTGAATGCTTGCATGACTCCTCTCTGTGTGTGTCTGTGTGTTTGCAGGCTCAGTTTGACTTGGCCTTTGTAGTTAGGTATAAACCAGATGAGCAGCCCTCTTTGAGGCCACACCATGACGCCTCCACATTCACTATAAACCTTGCACTGAATCAAGTGGGCGTTGATTACCAGGTGAGTGTAGCTGTACAACTGTGGTCAGTATAGCTGAGTAACACACACCATTGTTGATCTGGACTCACATTCAAGCTGTTAGACCTAGATCCTGTATGAGCAGGATTGTTGAACACAGTCTTGGAGAGAGTTTGATGCCTAAGGAATGGAAAAAAGTTGAAGAAGAACTGGTGCTGATACTTAGGGACCAGATGAGCAGAGCTGTATGAATGAATAATGGCAGTTTAGAAATCAAGTTAGAGCTAGTTTGGACACGTGCTGTGGAGAGACTGAAGTCTGGAGATGCTAAGATGTCGGCAGGTGATTCATGATGTAAAACCCAGGATGGATTAACTGAAAAAAGAAGATTCACATCCACTCTGAGAGATTCAATCACGAGTGAATCATTACTAATTTAAAGATTAAAGGCCTTTAGACGTCAATAATTCCAATAACATTCTCCATTGGAGCTGTGAAAAATGATAGATTTAAAATGACAATTAATTAAAATAAATTATATATGTGCATGACGAGGTTGGAGGGTGATTTAATTGAATTGGTAGCCAGTGACACTCGGTGTCAAACAAAGGTCCAGACAAGCATGACGCGGACATCAAGGCTTGTGTGACGTGGTTGAGCAAGAAATGCCGTCATACGCCTGGCATGGCGCTCGTCTCCATTTCCTCATCATTTGAAACTTTCCACATCTTGTGTTTTCACATCAGTCTTGTCCTCTTTGCATGACATGTTGCAGCTGAAGCCAGAAGCCTTGGTGCTTACAGTTGCATCCCTGTTGTTTCCCTGCATCTACAGTGTTTACAACATTGACTGGAAGTGAGAAACAACAGCTGCTGCTGTGTGGAGCTCTGATGTTACATTTAAATAATATTGTTTTTATAAACAATAGTAATATTTGATCTTCGCTCTGTATGTGGTTTTTACTTGTTTGAAGTGACTGTTAAAAATATATGTATATGTTATTGATAGAATAAAATTGAAAGACCTTTGTTGTCATTGCACAGGAACTATGGGGGAGATAGTAAGTCAGATAGGAAGGGTAAAGAAGTGGAATAGTAGGGTTTTTTCAGTACTTGGCATCTGTGGTGTTGCTTTACTGCTTTTTTTTCAGTGGAATAAGGTAGAGAGTAAGGAATAGGGGGGAAAGGGAGTGAGGCAGAAAGGTAGGATGAAGGAGAGTTTTAGATTAGGTAGAGAAAAGTGCAATAACACACTATTATAAAATAAATACTCTAACTCTGTAAATATTTTAATCCGTCTACCAGAGCAGCAACATCTCCACATGTATAATCACAAAAATGCAGAATAAAACCTGACCACCAGTACACCATGATCTGCTGCCTGTGTTAATAAAAACCTGTTAATATGTGGCGCTGTTGCTACAGGGTGGTGGATGCAGGTTCCTCCGTTATGACTGCGCCGTCGAAGCTCCTAGGAAAGGCTGGGCCCTCATGCACCCTGGCCGCCTCACCCACTACCACGAAGGCCTCCCAACCACCTCTGGCGTCCGTTACATTGCAGTGTCTTTTGTGGACCCTTGAGCTCCCAAAGATGGCGACACCTGCACTGGTGAGTCCAGACCAAAGAGGAATTCAAGAGAGACATAAAAGCCAGAAACTGCTCTACCTATAGAATTATATCTCTCGTGGTGACTGTGAGCTTACAATAGCCTGACCAAAATGGCTGTTGAAGACCCAAAAACATCCCAGCATTTTTTTTTACCAGAAAAAAACCTTGATCTCCTACAGAGCCTATGACTATTTTCAACTAAATTATAAAATACAGAGCAGCCTTTTTGGTCTTAAGCCTGGGTCTGTTCTGACTGTGTGGTGTCTTATGTGTTATGATGTGCCTCAGGAAATCACCAGGACTACATTACACATTTCTAAAAAAGGTTTGTGAAAACGTGTGACTTTTAAAATCTTCTTAAAGTTCAAAAAGTGCTTGTTTGCTAATCCGTCTCTCTCCCAGTTGTGGTTCTTTGTTGAACTGAGTCACTCCAAAGCCTGTTATTTATTTTTGTATTTGATTTGTTCAAACTCAAACTACATGTTTTATACAGAACATATATTTCAGTCTCACTGCCGTTATGACCTGTAATAGTCTTCTTCCATAGACACTAATTACAGTCAGTTCAGTTTTAAAGCAAAACATATTTGAAGTAACGGTCATTTGTCTCCATTGTTGTGCTTTAAATAAAACAATAAATCCAAATAAATAGTTGCTGATGTTTCTCATCAAATCAGAGCATTTTGCGAATTCTTTTTAAAACATTTTGATTTTTTTTTTCTTTAAATTTTTCAGCATAATCCTAATTTAGCTTGTCAGTCTTGGTCAGATGTTGAAAAATAATGATTATTTTCAAAATTGTCTTTTCTGCATGTTTCCCTTCAAATTAGAGCATTTCTTAGAAAGTTGTTTCGCAAAACCCTAATTAAGCATGATGTTTCTGGTCAAATGTTGAAAAATTGATGAGATTTTTTGGCAATTTTTTTAAAAACATTTTGTCTCTACATTTCTTGTCAAATTAGAGCATTTTAAGAATTTTGTTTTCGGAATAATCTTGATTTAGCATTTAGAAAAAAAATTGTTTTGCTGAATGTTTTTCTACATTTTATCTTGTCCTTTTTTGGCAAAAATTAATTTGCATGTAAATGTCTCTGCATGTTTATTTATTCTCATTAAATTAGAGCATTTTGAGAAATCACGGAAAATAGTTTTAGATATTTGAATTCAGAGAAAATTATGAGAAGTCTGATGTGAGTCAGTCATGTGATCCAAGTCCAATCAAGCTAATATGGCACTGACTCTATACAAACTTAACCTTGTTGGAAGTACTGAACCCCACCAGTTTCATATGCGCATTCACCGAACCCTGTGGTAATGACCAAGCGGGTGGCGTGTCATCACGAATCATGAGTCGGTTGTGTGTCTTGTCCTCCTCCAAACCCCTGGGGTTTGATCGAACCCAGGTTAAGAACCACTGGTCTAGACTGTAGATTTTTGTCTAAGTCAATCTGTATTCTAATCAAAACAAGATGTGTTTAAAAAAAAAAAAAATTGGCAATTTCTATAAGTTGGGCCTTTAAATAACTGCTCTATGGCCATGTTTTTTTTTTTGAGAAAATCTTTATTTAAGAGATAAAAGTTAGAAGTAAAAAGATTAAAGATATGGTTACAAACACTAAACCCAAGACAAAAAGAAGCTGCAGTATCACATATAAACATCTATTTACAAATCCTTATCACGTCAGCTTCCTGGCAAGTAAAAAAAAAAAAAAAAAAGAGGAAATAAAATAAACACAGCTTTGTTGTGACTAGCGGAATCGTCTAGTGAAGTTTGGAGAGTGTGGGACTGTGAGGGGAAGTTCACTCTTCTTCACTGCTACAGGTTTGTAGTGTCTGATGGGCTGAGCCTTGTGAACCTGCAGAAGTGAGTTAAAAAAAAAAGCAACTCAGTTTAAAGGTTCATTCTGCAGACATTGGTTTTGTGCTGTGGTTTTTGCTTCTGACCTGTTCCTGCCTCATCCTGCTGATGTCTTCTTTTTCCTGCCGCTCATCCTCTCGTTTTTTCTCTTCTTCCATGAGTGCCCTCAGGGCCTCCTTCTCACTGGCCAGCTTCTCATACTCCTGCCGCTCCCGGGCACGTCGCTCCGTTGACAGCTCGAAGGCCTCCACAGCTGTGGAAGAGTTAGAGACTGCTATAGAGTGTAGTGACAGATATTGTCGACCAGAAGAGGGCAGTGTGTTAGCCAATGTTGGAGCTGCAGAACACCATCACCCCTCATTCAAAGACCACTTACGTACACTTGTGTCTACTGTTGAAAAGTCCTGCCATCATCACAACTAAATGCGACGACTATGTCAGTGTTGTAAAAAGTAAAAATGTTGTCTTAATAAGCAGTTGGTCATTTTGGTCATACCTAGTGAAGACCTCTCCCCCTTCTTGGGCTGGAAAGGCTCTTTGTGAGTGACTGTGTTCGGTCTGGCTTTGAATGTCGCCACTTCCTCCTGATGCTTCTGCTCTTCTTTCAGCTAAAAGACACACAGGGCCAGTTTAACCACAGCCATTTCAAAATATACCACTAAGGTAGAGAGGCCGAGCCACCCATCGTACCATCTGTTCCCAGCGACTGTTTCTCACAGCCCCGCGTTCATCCAGCAGCAGCCTGAAGGGCTCAGGTTTTGTGGGCCCCAGCTTCTTCTTCTCAGGAAGCTGAACATTGTCAAAGTTAGGCAGTGGTTGGGCCTTAAACTGAGGAATCTGAAAGAGAATAATTGGGTTCTTTAACCTTTAGTGCAAAGTTCATTTAAGAGAGATGAGGGTAGATGGCAGTGTTTCTGCTAAGATGACATCATGACCGTCCATAATTCTAATTAAGTATCAGGGGTCCTGCTGCTTAGTGTAGATTGCCCAAATCCTATATGTGAGTAACTAGGTACAAGAGACTCACCTCCTCATTTCTCAACTCCTCCAGCTTCTTCTCTTTCAGTGCTCTCCTCCCTCGCTCTCTTTCCTCAAAGGAGAAAGGACAGACCTCCACCTGGTGACTCTCTGGAAGCTTGGGCTGGAAGGGGAGGCCAAAGTGAGGCACTGGAGGAGCCTTCACTGGGGACGGTGGTTTTACCTGACAGGAGAGACAACCAAGTTCAATTCAAGAGTCGCACAATCATTGTACTAACAGTCGACTTAGGCACTGACACAGCTATGAATCTACAAGAAAGACCCAATGTCTGCTGTTGCATTGAAAGTCATCGGTTTCACAGAGCAACATCTGCGGAATCGCAGTCAGCTTTAAACTCACTGCTTCAACTTTACGATCCACGCGGACCCTCTTCTTCAGAGCAAAAGCTGGAGACTCTGGAACAGTTGGATGAAGAACTTTCTTTTCTGGTAGTCCCTGTTGACAAGAGACCGTCCTCCTCATTAGGCCCATTCACAACAACAGTCTCATCAGGGGGATGTGACAACTCACCACAACTCCCTCCAGGATCTTCTTGGGCAGAGGCTGAGATTTAAAGTTGTGGGGCTTCTCTTCTTCCTCATGATGCCTTTTAGAAGTCTGTCTGTCCTGGAGCCTTTTCTCAATCTGCAGCTCAAATCCTTCAGGTACTGTGGGTTCCTTCACTACAGGCTTCTTCAGCTCCTCCACACCCTCCAGGATCTTCTTGTTCAGCTCCTGGGCCTTGAACTTAAACCTGCCATTTGAACACATCATGTAGCCTGACAGTTAACCCACATATCAGGATGAGGCATCTTTGTGAATGTTTGATTGCTTGGCTGCAAATTTAGGAAAGAAAGAAGAAAAACAAAGTAATAGTAGTCTCAGAAAGGATCTTACTTCTGAAGCTTCTCCACCTCCTCAGCTTCAAGGTCAGCACTGCTCTTAACAGTCGGAGGACGACTCCTCTGGCGGGTCATCAGGTGAGGGGTGTGAGGCTCGGTGAGTTTAGGGTGGTCACCTTTCACTGGAGAGGGTCCTTAGATTAAAAACATAACAAGCTCATTAGTAAAACAGCTCAGAGACAAAGAGTTAGCCGACAGAGCAGCATCACAGTCAGATCTCTGCAGCACCTCTCTCTTGACTCTGGCGACTGCGCAAGTGGTAGCGATCAGGAGTTCTTTTCTGGAACTGGTCTATACACTGAGCCATGGACACGTAGGCACCGACTCCATCCATTTTTCTTTTGTTGCCCTTTGACAAATTGAAGGGTTTTGGTATTGTGGCACCTTTAGGAGCCCTGGCCTGCCCAGAGAATCACCAGGAACAAAAAATAAATAAAAAATTAACCATTTTGATGAAATCTTCTTTGCCATGTTTTACTATATTCACATTATCTTTTTACTCTTTTGTTAATTGTTATTAATTACATACAATATCCTGACTTTTGTCAGTTCAATGTATGTCAATAGAAGCTTAAATAATACCAAGTTCTGTTTAAAAAAATAAGAAGAAACTCACTGGTGATGAAGGTTTACGAAGTTGACTCATGAAGTCCACCTCTTTGTGTGCCGTGTTGGTTGAAGGGTTCGTCTTAAGTCGTGTGTCTGTGAAGAAGTGGAACTCTTTGGGCACAGTGGTGGACAGGACCATCTTCTTTGGGAGTGGGTCTAAAGAGAAGTCGCACATTACCTCGTGTGTGACGACAGGTTTAACACGTGGAGCTGCAGTTCAACATCAACAAACAAAGGTCAAGCTGTTTGTACTCACTTCCAACCAGAGCAGCTTTGTAACTGGCCTCGTTCTTCTTGCGATGCAGAGCCACTTCCCTCTGGAGGTTCCTGATGCGCTCCAGCTCCTGCTCCTCAGAGCTGGCTATACTGTTTTCAAAAATTAACCACAGTGTTGATTCATGTTCAATTTTCATTTATGAGGAGTTATAGTACTTAACCTTTGTAATGTCTTTACATTAAGAATTATTCTTACTCAGTCTGAATTTTGTTGGTAGCTGCAGCTGCTGTGGGATTCAGCCTTCCACTCCTGCGGATGCCACCAGTTGACCTTTGAGCTGGTCGAGCCACAGGACTCCTGAAATATGACAGTGGCTGTTTAAGGATTTCTAACAGAACAACGACCATGTTGAGTTCATTGGAAGAGAACAGACACCATACATACGTTTTGTGTTTCTTGGAAGGAGGCGCTGCAGTTTGAGGTGGAGCTGAGCTGTTAGGTTCCTCTTTGCGTTTTAAAACCCTGAATAAAAAAAATATATATACAAAGAGTATCAAGATCAATTGATAGTTACCCCAGTACTTTGTAAGAACGATTCCTCTGTGGCTTTTGAAAGGCGGGTAACGTTAGACAAGCCCTGATATCCAGTTGACAACAGTTGCAGATAGTAGCACTATTATAATTTAAATGTTGGTTTTACATGTGGGTGATTTAAATAAATGATACCTGCGTTGTCGGGCAGGAGACTGATTGGTTGGTGTTCTCCTCCTTGTTTGAGGATTGGCCTGAGTCACCACTCCATCCCCCCATGTTGTAACAATGTTCAAGGGTGGAGACTTGGGAGGGTCAGGAGCTGAAAACATGGATGATGGATTCAGGAATTCGTCATTTTAAGCTTTTGGATAAGTAATCAACCAGTGGCTTTACAGGAAAAAAGCTCTTACCAGCGTCCACATTCGTCTTAACTTGTGGGTTCACGATGGCTTTGGGCAAGTCAAGTACGTCATTTCTCTTAAAGGGCCATTCAGATCTGGAAGGTGTGACAAGTTGGTCATCCGCCTCTGTGGCCTGTTGATCTGCACGGGTCAGAAAGAATACAATGTTGAAATAAAGCAAGTTCTGAAAATAACTATATCTTTGTTGACAATGCATCAGATTGACAATCACATCATCCAACGCTTAATTTCTATTACACACACTGTACACCCAAAGAAAACCACCTTAAGTCTTACTTTGTGATTTTTAATTTTCACCAAAAGGTAATGTGAGCTACAAATTAGACATCACATTTTATAGTTGTAACCTAGAGAACATTGAGTGTCATCACAAACACGTGAGTAAAATCAGCATCAAAGTTAAAAAACAATGAGAATGACTGTCCTGTTGTACCATTGAATTTAACCTACAAAAGACAAATCCCAGTCTAATTTCTCTACATATACAGGTACATTTGAGTTTCCATCACGGAGAAAATCTTGACAGAAAAGCAGAATCAAACGATGCATTTAATTGTTCATGCCTTGTGCTGCATTATTAGTTTCCTTTTTTCCTTTAACAATCTCGTGCAGAAAGATAAGTCAATGTTGATAGCAGCACATGTAGATCCTAACGCACATTGACAATTGTTTCAAAGCAGTAACAATGGCCTCTTTGCAAATGGAGACAACTATTACATAGGTGACAATATTCCCTTGCACAGCCTCAGGACTAATGTAACCAGAGATGCTGTCGTTTACCAGCTACGATATAAATAGTACCCGCACAAGGAAGAGAGCGGTTTAGACCTGAACAGAATAAAAAACAAATACTCACCAAACCACTGATCATCTCCCTCGTTTGTCTCCAGCTGCTTAAAGTCGACGACGTGGGACGGAGCATCAAAATCATAACGTTCAGCTGCGACATCCGAGTCGTTGTCGGCCATTTTCTCAAAACAGTTCTGGGGTTCTCGCCTAAACAAGAAAAAGTACCACAAACCACAGTCTTCAATCGAAAGTTTGGAGGATTTCCCTGAGCATATGATTCGACTACACGATATTTCAATTGCATTTAATTGTAGTTCGTTTAAACTGGAATGAGTCACGAATACTGAACTGAAGATCCTTTGTTCCTAACTACGAGTTAAATTGCCGGTGTATTGCCATCATAACTTAACATAATGCGTCAAATCGCCTAATCTTGCCGTTAAATTAAAAAGAGTAGTGTAGAAAACTAAACATCAAAGGTATCATAACTAACGATGGCAGTCCATGTTAAGGTTTATTAGCTTATATCATTAAAAACATACCAGAAAGAAATCAAATTATCCGAAGCCAAAATTATGGTTTTTCTATTGAAAACAATACTTTTCTTTTATTCATTTGTCAAAATTATTCAAATAAATCTTACCGATGCTGTTTCCTCTAAAGGAGAGCAGAAACTGCGACCGTAGCTCGGGTAGCGTTAGGTTTGAAATTTCCTCCCTTTTGAATTGACCAATAGCAAATAAATGTTTGTCAGCTCAACGCTGATTGGCTTACGTAAGTCAACTTCCTTTGTCCTGATCACGTGGTCTCCATATATGGTGTTTCAGCCAGCTCCAGCCTTGAAAAACAACAGTGATGGTATTCTTGCCCTGGGTGTGTTGTAATTCGGCGATAGTGAGTTATTTCGTTCTTGTATGTACGAATTTTGAGAAAAAGTATAAACAAATTATTTGTTCAGCTCCTATTTTGAGAGAATATAGGCGAAGGCACATAAATACAAGTGGCAGACTGTCACAAAGGGATTGTGCTTAAGAAATAAGTATTTATACCTATAAACAATTTTTTTTGCAATATCATGAAATTGGTCCAAGAAACGTTTTAAACAGCAACTTTGCGTGGATATGTTTATAACGTTACATTCAACATAACAATCGTGTAGCAGAAAGATAAACTGTATAACTTGCATAAAACAACACGACAATGTGTGACAATTGAAGAAACAAATAAAGTACATGGAAGTTTTTTTTCCATGGTGGTGTCAGTAGAAATGATTCCTCCCACGAATACGTTTTTTTATTCTCTCTTTTGTTGTCTCCTTAGATGCATTATCACTAAACATGCTTCATGATATTTTCATATCATACGTATTACATAAAACTGAGTGCATATTTGTTTTACCCAATACAGCTTTTCTCCTCAAAACATTCTCCGGAAAATAGCCTCAACACACATATATACCATACATCCCCTTTTTAAGGAAACTGAGTTGAGTTGTTATGAAACATCAAAACAAACAAAAAAGAAATGTTTAAAATATATATTAATAGAGCAAAATATTAAGATATACTGAAGTTTTTGCGGAAAAATATCTGCGTTGTGTTCAGTCATGACTTTGCCTTCTTCCATTGGCTTGGAGTGCGTCATGTGGGCGGGCGTAACTCTGGTGACGGTGTCGGGGGCGGGGACTGTGAGGTCCGACAGGAAAACGAAGGAAAGGCGAGTACCTTTTTTAATAAATCGGTAGATTTATCTTTACATTTCTCTTTAATATAAGCTCTTTGCTTTCTTCACATTATTGTATGCTGCCTCGGTCATATTCTGATAAAATAACGCGGTTGAAACGTGTTACATGTCTACAGTTTGACAACAGGCCAGCTGTCCCGAAAACAACTGAGGCAAGTTAGCAAAGCTAACAGCGGCGCTTCCGTAGGTTGAAGCTGTTAGCTACAAGTTAGCCGTCACTTCATTGCTTTGGACACGGCTTCCGCTGATCGTTGTTGGAACAATATGCTGACGGCTAAATCATAATGTCATATCGCCGCGACACAAAATAATATTTAAGTATACGGTGTTGATGTTGTTTTTTTCTTGGGGCTTTGCTAACACATACCCAGATACTGTACTGTCAGACAGTACCGACATGACGATAAATGTTTTTCCCCATTTAATGCATTAAAATAAGGTGTTATTGACATAATAGGTATTGACACATTATGTTTAAGTTAGAATATATTCGTTTAATAACAAACAAGCAAACGTGATTATTTAATACCATTACAGTATATATTTTAGGAGACATTTTGCAATTGTGTCGTTTCTTTTGGGGTTAATTTGATCAACTTTCTAAAAACTTTAGTGCGATTACCCTCAGTTTTACCCTTTTAATTAATCATTTGACCAATTTTAGCCTTCACTGCAATAACTTCCATGCTGTTTAACTAACGTCAACCTTTTTTGTACTGTTTGTACAGATATGGCATTATATTAAAAACATTAGTAACTTTGAGAGTCATTAATAATCACTATTTGGTTGTAAATTTTATTTTTTGGTTTTGGTTAACATTTAGCTTGATTTTAATCAAATTTCAAGAGTTTTGCTGTTGTTTGTCCATAAATACTAATTACATCAACAGGTGTGGTTGTCTTTTAAATGGGGCAGTTGAAAAGGTTTTATTTTAAATAATATGTTTCTAATGGCAATAATTGTGATAACTGAAACGCAAATGAATCAGAGCAATCATTGTCATTATATCAGTATGTGCTTAGTAAGCAATGGACACAGATTTCCCATGCATCATAAGATTAGAGTTGTGAGTCTCAGAAAATATAGCTCTCCTCCTCCACCTCCTTTCTCTGTTCTCTTCCTCTTTCCTTTTCTTTCTTCCTCATTCCTCTTCTCTAAACCCAAACCAGTCAAGACACAGTCTATGATCTGAATTGTCAAGTAAAATGATTGTCTCCATTCTTTCAGATGGCTGCGATCAGAAAGAAGCTGGTGATAGTCGGTGATGGAGCCTGTGGTAAAACCTGTCTCCTCATAGTCTTCAGTAAGGATCAGTTTCCTGAGGTTTATGTGCCCACTGTGTTTGAGAACTATGTGGCAGACATTGAGGTCGATGGTAAACAGGTAGGATTCTTTCGTCATTATTGCAACACTAATTACTACACAACTAAATCATTCAGACTTTGCTCTTTTGATCTGACTCATCACTGTACATAGAAACTCAGTTGCTAGTTCAGATCTGATCGTGTCCAGTCAGCTTTTTGTTACGTGCGTAATTCATACATCAGACAAAAGTACCACAAGTGAGAAGTCTTCAGAATTTATAAGATCTTTATAAATCATGTTGTGGCATTAATTCCTTAACTAAGTTTTTATTGTTGTTTGTAGCTTATGTATGTGGTGTTTTTTAATGTACTGCCTGCTGTAGGTGGAGCTGGCTCTGTGGGACACAGCTGGTCAGGAGGACTACGACCGACTGAGGCCACTCTCTTATCCGGACACAGATGTCATCCTTATGTGTTTCTCCATTGACAGCCCTGATAGTTTAGGTGAGGTTCTCTCTGCCGGTTTCTTGAGTCACTGAACGTTACCGTAATTTGTTTTTCTTTGATGTTAATACTGTTTAATTTATGCAGAGAATATTCCAGAGAAGTGGACTCCTGAGGTCAAGCATTTTTGCCCCAATGTGCCAATCATTCTCGTGGGAAACAAGAAAGATCTACGGAATGATGAGCATACACGTCGAGAGTTAGCCAAGATGAAGCAGGTGGGAGAGGCCACAACAAATACATAAAACCTCATTGTTTGTCCTCTTCTCTACATCATCCACATCAGATAGAGCGTGTACTTTCCTTTCCCTGTAGTCGGCCTGTAGTTGGTGCTAAGCACACATTCAGATCAGGTGTATGGTTCACATAGACTGGTGGATTGTTTTAAGTGAATTAAACTGTGTGAACAACACTGACAACTCAGTCAGAACTCTTTCACAATATGAAAACACACAGGGTTATGTCCACTGGACATACAGTATGTCATACATTTCATCAATACAAGTAGCAAATTGTGCGTTATCTTCATACTGGAATGTAGCATATTCTAATGTCTTGCTAGCATGAAGTGAGGTACTGTAGGTGGGGTGTACTGGTACTGGTGCTGATTTCTGGCGTGTTAGCAGTACTAGTAACATGTTAGCGCTGTGCCAGATGTAGTCAATAATCAATACCCATATGTGTGAATTTCGTTTCCCGATGCTTATTCAGTGCCATAAGAAAAAAAAAAAAAAATGAACCCATGTACGATTGTTCTTGCAGGTAGCCCAGTGTCAAAATGTCAAAACAGAGTTTTTGAATTGATTGCTTTTTTCCCCACACAGGAACCAGTGAAGTCTGAGGAGGCTCGAGACATGGCAAACCGCATCAATGCCTTTGGTTACCTGGAGTGCTCGGCCAAGACGAAGGACGGCGTGAGAGAGGTGTTCGAAATGGCCACCAGGGCCGCGCTGCAGGCCAAGAGACGAGGCAAGAAGAGCCCCTGCGTTCTTCTATAGATTGTCAGGCAGGTAAAATTGGAGAAATTAAAACAAAGGCCAAGACAAAAAAAAACATGCCTTCACTGTGTCTGTCGTCACCATAGTGGCCACAGTGACTAGAGGGATTAAAGTCTTAAATGGGCTTAGTGAAAAAAAAAGGAAAAAGTCAGACACAGTCGAAACAGGAAAATATATACTTTAAGTTTAAGGTTATAGCTTCTAGCTTTCAAATAGAAATACTGTACTCTTGTGTTTAGAATTCATTAAAGCTTAAGTGAAGAGAACATGAAGAGAACATTTTCTCTTTCTCAGTTATTTGAATTGGGAACAGTACTCTCCTCTCCCCTCAGTTTGTACTGGAGTTCAGAGGCCACACATGTTATTCCTGACTAACTAACTGTTGGAACTGCTCCACAGCTTGCAGTGTATCAGTTTATGCTCTAACATTCTTAACATGTTTCATTTTCCTTTATTGCTCATAGTTTTGACCAAACTAACGTTGCGCAGACCTGCTTTGAACCTTTACATTCTTAATATACTTTAATTAAAAAGTGTGATGATTTCTTGCAGCTGAGTAAAAGTGATTGAGATTAATATTTCTTACATGTAAGTTAGTACAAGTTGAGTGAGGTGGTTGAAATAATTGTGAGTGGCTGCTTAGAGGTTGGACATAAATGTTAAGAACATTTTTTGTCGTGTTGAGGGTGAGTTCTGAAACAGAAGAGGGAAGCTCAGGAGACTTGACCTTATAATCAGTATATTTTAATTAAAAAAAACACTTTGCTTTGTCAAATTAGTTCATCGATACAAACTGGTGTATTCCTAATACAGACTTTTTTTTAGCCTCACTTTTTTATATATATAATACTTTTTTCTAACACTGCAGTCCATATTCAGGTTTCTTTATTGGACATAAACATGGTTGTCAGCTGAATTCTACTTCCTTGACAGTAAAAAGCCTAACGTCCTATTGAGCCATGACATTTTATTTTTTAGGACTCATCAGTGCTAACTAACTTAGCAGATTTAAACAAAGCAAAAATCATTGTAGTTCATACCCAGAGTTGTTTAATGTTTCAATTGCACAAGCCACAGTTTCAAAATATTAGGTGCAGTACCACTGCTGGCCAACAGAGTAGTATGGTTCCGTAAACATCCACGAAAACGGCATAGGTTTGTCCCTGCCCTAGTTTTTTTTTTTTAACTAAAGAGGTGGAGTTAAAAAACTTGTCAGAGGTTGGGACCTGGCTCAGACAGTGAGAACAGATGGTTTAAAACTAACATACATTATTTACACAAGTCCAGGTTTTTGGACTTTTTTATGTGTTGCATTTATCATCTTTAAATGTGTTAATGGAGAAAACAGTGGCAAAGAGGCTGTAAACAGTAGTTATGTTGTAGACATGACATGTTTAAATGAGCATTATCAGATGTCATTTACACTGAAACCATATTAAATTCACCACAGTGCTAAATTCAGCCCAACCTACACAGTTTCTAACCCCCTGCTCTAGTGTGGGTTTTTGCCACTCTCTCTTTCCAATTATGGAATTTCCTTCTCTCGCTTTTTCTCTGTGTCGTATTTAACTTTTTGTGATATTCTACTGGCTTACGTTGTATTATTTGCACACAACTTCAAATCAAAAGGTCAGTGTGGTATATATGAACAATATATATACATATATAATTAAATATATGTATATATATTTACTTGATGAAAGTACGTATATGATGTCAGAAGACGAGATGCAAAATGCAAAAAGCTCCTCCTTAAGGATTGGTCATTTATAAAATTCTTTTGTATACGGACTTATCCTGACATTTCTCCAGTCGTCTTTTTTAATGTATTCTCAAGGAAATAAATTGTAACAGAGAATGACCAAAGGCATGTCTGTGTTTCTGTTTTTCTGTCAAAACAATGTTTCTAGCAGCTTTTATCATTCAAGCTATCTTTATTTAATTATCCTAACTTTTTTTTTATTCCAGGCTGTTTGTCAATTCATTATTTATTATTATACTTTTTACATACATCACTAATATTAGCTAATTTTGAATGAATTGTAGGTAAACATTGATTTCTGGGCTAAAAGTTAGCCCTGTTTTTTATTTTGTTGATTTTAACAACTGAAAAAATATAGTAAAAAAACCTTATTCTGTTATTTATATTTTGGCAAATTTATCTTTGTGTAACCTTTACCTGACTTTGGGCAAGTAATCAATTTAAACCTTTAAGCTTAACTACATCATTTTAATTAACTTGTGACTTTCTTTCGGGAACACTAGATGCAGATAATGTCTTTGGAAATTTTTTCCTGGTAAAATAATTCTACTATGATTAAGGCCAAACTTGACCATTCCAAATCACCATGGCTCATCAATGAGGTGACCTGGTATTAAAATACTATGTCACAGGCGTCAACTCCACAGGTCTCAGTGACTGCAGGACAACATTGACAGCCTCAGACTTGTTCTGGTAGGAATCTAGATTGGGACACAAAGACAGTGGGATCCAGCCAATATATACTATATACCTTATTTTTCACAGTTGCTCAGTGGGTGAATGCCTTTTGTTTAAGAAATAATGGAGACCCATGCAGGAGCATCCATACCCTGTCTTTATTCCTCAATGGTTTCATAGTAATAATAATTAAAACTGTATTTATCCCACATTTGGGAAATTCTTCTGTTAACAACAAACACGTTTCTACTTATTCATATTTAAAAGAATATACCAAGGTAAATATGATCTCAAATCAGCATCATCATGGAGGTGGCCTGGTGTACAAATGCTGAAGAACACAGCTTATGGTTCCACAGGCTGGCCTTAACCCTATAAAGTTTGATGGAGTCCTGCCAGAAACTCTTGATAAAAGGGTTCTGAAAGGAAAAACGTACACTTATAAGTGAAAGACTTCATAGGAAAGCGACAATGAATCTTTTATTGTGTAAATGCTGTGTACACCCACCTGTGTCTGGGTCTATAAATGAATGTCTGATGAGGAAGTCCAAGGCCACCATTGCACAGTTGGGTTTGAAGTCATCAGTTGCCAACAGTTCTTTTACCTGAAATCACAACAGATTATTTATAAGGTTTTAGGTTAAATACTGTTAAATAGCTTCTTTAATTTCTTCTTTTAATTCCAACAATGGAATCAAACATCTAGAGAATCGTTGCAAAATGCAGACCCATGCCTCTGTGGAACACATAATTCCTATTTTATTAACCAGAGAAGCATACTTTTGTCAGTAGTATTTCAGACATTAAAGATAGGATACAACTTGGGATGAGTGTTAGATAATAGCTATGCCATCAAAGTGTGAAGTGTGTATTAGGACAGATGGTTACATTTGTCAAGAAAAAGGCACATGTTAGCTATTGTAAAAACTACTAATTAGCTAAATTGGCTTTTGTTTGGCATAATTAACAGTTACAATATGAAAACTATATTATAGTAAAGAGTCAGCCAGAGTTTGGCAAAATACCTTATAGTATTAAAAATAGCTACATTTCAGCTCTCAAGAGAGCACAAAGACAATGTGGATGTGACTGTGTAATTTTCAGACAATAAACTCAGATACTGCTGTATGTTTGTACAGAAAATGATGTGTCATCAAACCTTCTACTAACCTTGTCTATAGGTAGAAGGTAGAACTCTTGCACTTCTCCATCTCCTACTCTGGGTCTGAAGTCCAGAGGAAGTTCCAAATCAAAGACAAACTGACATTCTGGAAACACCCCTTCCTCATCCTCGTATGTGTAGCTTAAAAAAAGGTTAATGACAAAATATTAATTGTAGAAAAATCAGGAGTGTAGGTCAAGTGAAGTGGACTCACATATGAGCTATAGTTATAATTTAATTTTATACAGATTAATGAATAAAACTAACTTAGATACACTATGGTGGTCATCTGAACTCACCTGACAGTGCTCACATGAAGTGCTTTCTCAGCAATGGCAGCTGGGATACAAGCTTCCTCCTGACATTCTTTCACCAGCGTGTGCTTGATGCTCACGTCAGCAGAGAGACCACCTGCTGCCTTTGGGAACAAAACACAATAGTGCTCTCTGGAATCAACTCCTAATTATGTGAATATCAAAATAACTTTTTTTTACTGGAAACTTCTGGAAAAGCAGGACTAATTTGTACCCACCAAATTATCCAGAAGTCCAGGATATGTCTGCTTAGTTGGAGAACGTCTTCCCAGCCACATGCTAACTTCTCCACTGTTACTGACAGTGTAACCATTGATGTGGACGCCATAACGTTTGACTCCAAAAAGACCTGTGGTGTAGCAACACTACACAATTGTTATCAATATTAGTAAAAATAATAAATGTCAGGTATGGAAAAAAACAACTTACTGGTAGCTGCTCTTTCCATCCACATTAACGGAGGGTCTGAGAATTTAGGCATCACTCTGTACTTCTGAAAAATAATGTTTCATAATGATGTTATTTGGCTGTTCCTGGCATCAGCATCAACAAAGTGAAATGGTTGATCCACACACCTCATCTCTCCATCCTTTAAGGCACCCCAAGGAGTCCTCTCCTCTCAGGGACTGTAGGACAGCATCGACAGCCTCGGACCTCTTCTGGTAGGAATCTAGACTGGGACACAAAGACACAGCGCCACCGTTTGGCGAACTAAACACTTCTGGATAGCCGGTGAGAAGTGAAGTGACGTGTGGTGGGATCCAGCCAACTTGGGATCCTTCAATCTCAAACCTGCAGCAGTCAGCACGACACGACCCTGTCCGGAACAATGATGGAGGTGAAGAAAAAAAATGTTAAGCAAATGTTCAATTACAACGTATCCCCTCCTCCTCAACTCCACGTACCTGCCAGGTAAAAGTTGTTCATGCGACTGAGCAGCTTCATTACCTTTTCTGACCAACTATAGACCGCCATTTTGAGCGACTTTATAAACTGAACTAAATATAGTGTTCCCCTAGTGCTCTTCTTCTGTCCTTTTTCACCACACTCAATTCTTTACAAAACATGAATTCATTGTGGTGATTATAATCTATTTATAAAATGAATACAATATTTTTGTAAACAGATATCCATTGCTATTTGCATGTACTTAACACTTCGTTGAAGAAAACTCCAATGTTTCCTCGTGTTTGCGTTTGATATAGTTTGTCCCTGTGAAGTCGCCGTACGGCTGTCGTAAAAAATAGACAGACGTAAAACGTGTTATATGTTTGTTTCAAGTAATATGAAGTATCTAGAATAGTGACCATATTTATTCCCTTGACACAGCAGTATGTTACAGGTTGCTACTAAAACGTTGTTTTATTTTCATTTCATAAATGTTTCATAAAATATTTTCGTAGAGAAGGACATGAAGAGTCACCATAGGATAGTGTACTAATTGAGAATATAAATGATGGTGAGGGAAAGGAGCTGGAAAAAAGAGAAAAAGAAGACAATTCTGACTAGCTTACCTACTGTTTCGCAGTTTAAACATTAGGTGGCAATATTACACCGGTTGCCATCACACCAGAAACATTAGAAGAAGAATATTGTTTGAAAAAATAAAAAGGTAGAAGAAGAAATCCCATCCGGATCATCTGAAATCTGTCAGAAGAGTCAACCTTGACACTGGATGTATTTAAAAAAATATCTATGAATGTAACATTCGTAGCGTTTACTCTCCTCTGACACCAGCGATCTGGTGTTAGCCGACGATGCCTCTCTTCCCTGCGAACCAGTCCCAGCTGATTCGCTCCAGTCAAAAGGACGCATTTTACCAAACCTTCCTAAGAAACAACGCAAACGAGACTTTTCAAACACTTGCTGGTGGGTTTTCTTTTTAACTTAAACATACTTTCATTGCTTTGTCATGTGTTGCTTCCCATCGCTAAATATCTTTGTTTATTTTGTGTGTAGGATCTAAAAGATGGCTTGACTGGAGGAAAGAGATCGAACTGCTGTCAGACCTTGTCTACTATGGTTTAACTACATTGTCAGGTAATTTCAGGGAAACCTCGCCTTATGTTTTCCATAACACGATTTTGGCAAAATAGCACTACACTTAGTTGTTAATTGTAACGCTATGTGTCAGTAACACCACATATGCATGTGTGCAGAGCACATAATGACATTGACACCTAGAGTAGCTCTTACTGTTTATCATATCTTCCTCTGTTCCAGGGGGCTGGCAGTGGACTAAAATGTGCACAGCCCCTAAATTAATTTTTTGATTGTTTCGTGCTTTTAAATTTTTACACCATGTTAATAAAGCGTTATTTAAAAAAAATCATCCAAGTACATATATCACTGTCAGAGGAAACGTGGTCAGTAAACTAACTAATTTCTTTCTCTAGGTTACCAAACACTAGGTGAAGAGTATGTCAGCATTGTCCAAGTGGATCCTACCAAACGACGGATTCCCTCTCGTGTCAGACGAACGCTCTTTGTTCTCTGCCATGCATTCTTGCCTTACCTCCTTGACAAATTCCTGGTATGCCTTGAAAATGAGTTAGAAAGAGAGCAAGAGGGCATTAGCAGTGTTAGACGAAGACGACACGAGGCGTCTACGACCTGTAGTCTGGAGTCCTGGCTGAGGAGGTGGATTCAGAGAGCAGTGGGTTTGCTGTCAGAGTCCCAAAGGAGAGCCTGTCTCCCTGCTACATTTGTCCTTCATCAGGGTCTGACTCTTCTGCACCGATTTCATGTGGCCCTGTTCTACATCAGTGGATCTTTCTATCATCTGTCCAGAAGGATGGCTGGAATCAGCTATGTAGGTCAATTTTATCCCCTTTAAGGCATGTGGGTCTTGCGCTATTAACTTTTACCAACTTGAAATCCTGGAAATGACTTCCCATTAGACAAAGTTTATTATCACCTTATTTTACAGTTCCCAGTGGAAAAATCAATCAAAGATGTTTAATAAGTGACATTTCTTCCTATTAAGTCAAACATTTACGTTTTTCTTTTATATTGATCTGTCTGCAGCACCAGAGGAAGTTAAGCTTCTTACAAAGAGTTTTCATTAACAAATGTATCTGTATTATGTATGTACCATCAATAACACTGTTATCGTTTACATCAAATTGATGAATGTTGTAACAGTTATGTGTTGTTATGTGTAGCTGCGTGTGATGGGTCCAGACAGCGTTGACGGGACCATCAGGAACAGCTACAAGCTGCTGGGAGCTGTGTCCCTGCTTCAGCTGCTCATCACTGTCAGTCTGCAGCTCAACAACCTCAGACAAAGACAGAGAGCCAGGAAGGAGTGGAAACTCTACAGAAATCTTAGGTACAGAACCAGTTGCCTTTGCAATGTCATGTCTTTGACTATGGGACCACAGCTACTACAGTGAGTCCTCGATTGACTGCTGTTTAAATTCTAATTAATCTGTGCTCATTTCTGTTCCACAAAACCTGGTAAATGGAGAGTGGTTAAATCTATAAATGAGAAGTTGTAATTGTTCTTAGTATTACTTTGCATTTTGTACTTTTCCCCCATCGTTTATTGAAGCATATGCTGCTGACGTGAACTCTTTGTGTCTGCAGTCCTCAGCGCAGCGACAGCTCGAGTCCCAGAGTCGCCCGCTGTATTCTGTGTCTGGAGGAGAGAAGACACTCGACCTCCACCCCCTGTGGACACCTCTTCTGCTGGGAGTGCATCACTGAGTGGTGCAACACCAAGGTCAGAGCCAAGAGACAAGAAGCAATTTAGAAGAAGCTTCACATGAGGGGAAATCTGTTGGCGTTTTACTGGCAGATATTTCTTTCAAAGCAGCAGTGTTTTTTCCGTTTAGCCTACTAACATTTCAGCAGTATCTGTTTGTTGGTGTTTTTTTATAATAATATAATGAACTGCATCTACTTTTTGTCATGATTTGTGCTGCAAACCAGTTCAGAGGTTTTACACGCAGGTGTTGAGTCTTGGTCAAACAACATTTAGCATTTAATGAACTAAAGCCAATCCAAAGACACTGAATCAGAGAAGTTAGTACAGTGGGAGAAACGTCACACCATGTACTTTTATCTGCGCTTAGAAATGAATGCAGAAACAGTACTCAACTTTTTTGTGAGTAAGTGTAACACGGGTTGGTGTTTGTGTTTCATCTCACAGGCAGAGTGCCCTCTGTGTCGGGAGAAGTTCCAACCTCAAAGACTGATTTATCTGAGGAACTACAGATAGTAGAACATGTTCTTGGGACACAGACGCAGGCACGCAAAATCATGCACAGCTACCTCTCAGGATCATAGGACACAACTTTGTTTGTCGTTATGTTGTAATTAAATTATTTTGTTTTCTATCTAGGTATTTAATTACTTGTGCTTAATACAAATCTGTTAATTAAAAATTACTACATTATCTTTTTGTGGTCATTGATGATTAAAGTGAGAGTGGAATGGTCAGATACTGAGGTTTTACACAGCTTTAATACCTAAAATAAAATGAAAATAATAATGTTATATTATCATTTTTAATATTGTAGATATAAATATATAAATATAATAATTAAAACATCTGAAATTGCTTTTAAAAATCTAGGTGATGATACCCCTGAGAATAAATAAAATAAATACTGTATTTACATTAAAATACAGTACAACAGTAGCGCAACCCTGCTAACTCCATATGAGAAGACAGTTGTCACAGGGGATTGAACTAGTGACCTGTTGTATGTAGGTTCTAACCATCTCTTCCACCAATTGCGTCATTTGACTTATGATGCAGTACACTAATTCCCATCCAGCCTGTACATATTCATCAAAGTTGTTTTTTTTCTCTGAGTCCCTGTTGAGCTGCCACCAGCAGATGGAGCCCTGAATGGTTGAACAGCTTTACCTGTGTCTTATTATCTCTCCACTCCCTCATCATATAGTCCGGCTGTTTGTTTTTGCCTATTTATCTGGACACCTTTGAGTTTTTCCATCCAGGCTGATACTCTGGTAACAGTTAAACTGGGCCTGTTATTCCAAGTTTGTTTTGGCCTTCTTACGGCTATGAACAGCTCTTTTTTATAATTAAAGTCCAAAGCTGCAAAAACGTTTAACATGTACAAACAACAACAACAAAAATTACACAGCTTGTTTACTCAAAAACAAACTTTGTATTTCTTGGAGTGTCATGAAAATAGCAGGACTTCTAGACCTAATGTGTCCATTCACGAACAACTCTGCTCAGCAGACGTTCACCTGATTATACTCCTGTAATCAATCGTTACTTTTTAATCTGCTCCAATCTCAGAATTAGAAACTGTGTAAGATTATTTTTGCAAGATTTGTAATTTTTTACAAAGACAAAACCTTTTGAAGTCTCACCTTCGTACAAACTTGACTACATCACACACACATACGTCTTAAACACGTCACAGTCTGTGATTCACGTTGACTGATGAGAAATGAGACATTGTGCAACAGTTAACAACAGCCAGGTAAAAACAGGTAACAACATCTCTGATTCTTCCTTCTGAATATGAACAAACTTGACTCATCAGTCCAGTTCAGTGTAACGTTTGTGCCTCGTTCATTTTTTTTGCATTATCAAATATTTAAAACACGCCCCTCATCTCCTTACACACTGTATTACTTTGACCTACTCTGTGTATAATGAATTTGTATGACTAGCTGTGGTGGTAGAGTCACTGCTGTAATACTGTGATATTGACTCAACCAGGGAAACTCCTTACTTTCATGGGTCCTACTGAGCTGCTGAGGTGTTGCAATGAATTTTACCATCAAAGGTTGAGACATGTTCTAATTGACTAACGTCCCAAACTGACACTCGTCTGTCTTCACAGACCCAGAGGGAGACGGACGTTGATGGACTTTCTAACCGGGACCTCTTCTTTTAAACACACTTCAAATTGTTTATTTATTTAAAAAAAATAATTGAGTTTACAGTTCACTGTGCAGCTACTGTACATCCTTTTTTGTAATTGTTGGTCAGAATGGCCTTAAAAATTAGTACCAGCTGTGTCTGCAGCTTCGTCTTTGGAACTATTCTAATTATTGGTGAGTACATGCTGAGAGGAGAGAAGAAGGTGACGATTTGAATACAAATAAATTGCATGTGTTTTTTTTTTTTTAACTTCTTCTTTCATGTTACAGCTTTCCCAATGGCAGAGATCACTCTTGGTAAGTTTGACAAAAATACTTAATTGTAATAACGTGTTTTCAACATTTGGACATTGTTGTTAAAAGACATTTAAACATTATATTATATTATATTATATTATATTATATTATATTATATTATATTATATTATACATTTGCATAAAATGTAATTATGTTGTTATTTATTATTACTATGTTAAAGAAATAGCATTTCATAAAGTAGCATGGTAAAATGTAGCATACTATAGGATAATACTGTATAACATAAAGTACTACACTGCTTTCAATGTGAAATGTTGAAAAACAAATGTCACTATGATGTACTGCAGTGTATTGTACTGTACAACCTTGTGTATTTATTGTCTTAGACTTTTCTGATAAACTAGCAAATGAAACACTTGAGCGTAGTTGATTATATTTAAACTATTTTTAAAAAATAAATCATGATTATAATATTCAATCTCTGTGTTGATTATTTTTATTTTAATAATGTTACTTCTACGGTAAAACTAATCAGGTCAGTTTACATCAGATTGTTAGTTTGTGCTTTGAATCTCAATAGAAAGTTGTCCGGCCTTTTAAATGTGTGTTTTATAATATTTTGTGGGAGTACATCAAATTTAAATGATGTTACTTAAAAGTGTCCATTCGCTTCACACTTATGCGCTCCTTTGCTCACAGGTGCACTGCATCTAAATGAGTGCCCTGCAGCACCACTGATCCCAGTGTATGTGATGGTGTGTGGGATAATAGCACTGCTGCTGATGGGCCTGGTTGTTCTGCCAAAACTCCTCTGCCCAGCAGCCCAAGGATTAATCTGGACGTGCTGTGTCCTCACCCTGATTCTGTTGACTTTCATCTGGTTCCTCGTTGGTAACTACAAACTTACAGTTCCTCAGATCGGTTGTTGACACTGTAGTTGTCTGTAGTAAAAGACAAATGTGAGCTCAAACTACACTACATTGCCCTACAGTAAAGTATACAGTATTATACTTGTATTATACTGTACTGTATAGTACTATATTGTAGTATACTATACTAGGCTCCTCTGTATTTCAAATACACAGATGGGTACTAAATAATCTAAAATGATCCCCATAACATATGATATACAGGGTTGCAGGGTGTCAACAGCAGAAAGCTTTAAAAATGACTGTGAACTGTATCATGGTGATTCCTCTAACTCTGTCTCTGTTCCTCTCCAGGGAGTTACTATATCTATTCTATATACCCACCCAGTTATGAGAAGAACATCACCGATCCAGACAAATCCATCAGCGGTGCATACACTGCTCCTAACAGCAGCTGGACACAGGCTCTGCACAAACACAACCACAATCTTCAAACCCAAGACCACGATCATCTAAATCGGACCTTTCCAAACCATAACCAGACTGAGACGATGAGTGGAAACCAGACCTGGAAGAACCTTATTCCAACTCCAACGACCAGTAGTGACGTGGACAAAGAGCAGCAGGAACCTGCAGCTGATCAGGCTGAGGCTACAAAGGCCTACTGTGATAAAACTCTGTATCTGCTCGCTTTCTGGGCCACCACCATGATATATGTCTTTGCAGGAAACGCACTACTGATCATGGCTTGCTTGTATGGCTGCATGGGAATAATGAATATGATAACAAATCACCTTTTTTGATGCAGCTAATTATGACTGTGTGAACCACTTTTGGAAACAGCTGAGCTTGTTTCAACCTGTTCCTGCGGCTTCAGCATGAGACGATAGTTGTCTTTGAATATGACTGAACTTTAATGGTCAATAAAGTATGTTATTATTGCTTGATTTTAACATCATGTCTGTTGCATGTGACTGTTGATATAATGACCCTGGAATAATATTGAATTTATTCTTTTTGTTGCACTATGCAAGTCTGGTTTCCTTATTAAATTATGTTTATCATCTGCATTGTTTTAACTTCATTGTGTATTTTAGTTTGTCACGTGTAAATAGTACTGCAAATTCTGATTATATCCAAATAAAATATTTTGTTCATAATAATTTTGCATGTGTTACGTTGTCATTTCACAAACACACACAGCAACATCTTCCCTCTGTAGTGAAGTTTTCAACCTATCATTAGAGGACGCAGAAACACTGTTGTCGCCAAGGATTCAAACCTGCAACTCTTTAAACGCAGGCTCCATCACCAGCTCGTGGATCACTTCCTTGTTTTTCCAAAGGAGGAGTTCAGACGTCATGTGACCGCTGCACAGACTAACACAGCAGCTGAGCGGTGAAGCCCCACTACACTGAGGGAGGTGACGACTCTGGACATCGGCTGTGGACGCTTCTGCAGGTGGGTGGGTCGGGGGTCGCCCAGTGTGACTGTGTGTTTGTCTGTGTGTGAGGGTGAGGGGAGGCGGGGGTGAGAGACCTTGCTACTGCTGCTGGAAGAAAACAACTACTAGATATTATATAAACACGTTTAAACATGCTGCTGTTGTAGCGAACACTGACGGCGCTTTGTTTTGTTTCTATTTAATATTCACAACATGTCTCACGTTGTGTCAAAGTGTTGGCTCAGAAAGTGCGTCTTTTAAATTAAATTAATAAGTGTTGCTTTCCTCCAAGGCAGATTGTCAAGTCAGCAAAAAGATAAACATCTGTCAGTTCCTGGTTGGGTTTTCCGGTCAAAAAGCTGCGCAGAGTAACAGTTTCTGTGTTTGGAATTGAAAAACGAAACGGAAAATAAAGGAATAAAATGAGAATAAATAAAATAAATGAGACTTCTTTCTCGGATTTAAATAAATTTCCCGGTATAATACTTTTGTGGTTCCCTAGTGTTATTATCTGTTATGGATGGTTTTCATGGACATATATGTTTTGTGTAAGGCAAAAGTTTCTTCTAGAAATTTCAATTTTTTTTACATCTACTTCTTGTAGGACAAAAGTACAAGGGTTTTTGATGTCCTGCTAACCGTATTTCCATTGCTGTTTTCCACTAATTATTTTTGCAGTCGCTGGAAAAGTGCTGAGCTGCTTAAAAAGCTCTGTTTGGAGTTCTTACTTAACCTTATTGAATAACTTACACAAAAACAACGAATGTAGAAGGTGACGACTGCCAGAAAACCTGTTGCAGTTTTCAATAACTGTAGCTTCAGTTCAGACCTGGTGTTTGTTCCTTGTTTTAACAAACTGGTCAGATAGAGTCCCACAGCTCGGCACTTGTCAAACATATAGTTAAAAAGGTACATTTCTCCAAGGTGTTTGAGACCTGAGAGACCTGTTTTCACATGTGTTAGACATTAGAATCAGACACCTTACCCTGAAGGTATTTGTTATGTGGTGTTACTGATATTGTCAACTACCATGTCAGTTTGTACCTATTCAAATGCACACTACTTTCAGTCCAAATAGCTGAGGGTTGTCTTGTTTTTTTTCCAGAATAGAAAAATGTCTACAGTGATGCTGCAGGAGGTTCGAGAACGGATTTCCAAAGAACTGGATACTGTAGTAGACTTCTGGCTCAAATACTCTCATGACAAAGAACATGGGTATTGAATAACAAATGGATGCCAAAGCTTCTGTTGATTCCAGGTGTGCAGTCTATACTATGGTAGTGAACTTCAGTCTCCTCTTCCTTTCTCAGGGGCTACTTCACTTGTATTGGGAAAGACGGGAAGATTTTCGATGAGCTCAAGTACGTGTGGCTGCAGGGCAGACAGGTAGGTCTGGTGAAGTAGACATTGACACTCAGTAGACCTGGAAGACTCCAAAGGTTTTGTCTTCACAGGTGTGGATGTACAGTCGCCTGTATCGAACCGTTGATCGATTCCACAAACCTGAAATACTTGAAGCAGCTAAGGCTGGTTTGTATTCAATTCAAGCACATCTTGTTGAGTCTGATCTGGTTCGTTTCAGTGTAAGACAAAGAAATGAATATCTCAAGTCACAACGTGCTCCTGTGTTTCTGTGTTAGGAGGGGAGTTCCTCAGAAAGTTTGCACGCGTCTCCACTAGCAACGGCCAATGGAAATGTGCCTTCTGTTTAACCAAAGATGGTAAAGCTGTAAAAGTACAGAGGACCATCTTCAGCGAGTGTTTCTACGTCATGGCCATGGATGAATTGGGGAGAGTCACCGGGGACAAGGACATGCAGGTATGACCGAAAATAAACCAAGTGGAGGTCTCTAGCAGGTCATGTAATCATTTAGGATTTATTGTTTTATAAAATACATTTGGTGCTCTTTTTTATTTCTAGCTGGAGGCTGAGCAGGTGATGGAGCAGCTCATATACTGGGTTCGAGTGGATGGGTCTGGCTTGGGTCGACCACAGCTTCTTGGGGATGTTCCCACCAATAGTATGGCAGTTCCCATGATGCTATTGTGTCTGGTGCAGCAGCTGACTGAGGGACGGGATCAGGAGGTGGTTGAGAAATACAAAGAGTTGAGCAGCTGGTGTGTCCAACAGGTTCTACAGCACATACAGGTATGGACCTGCTTTTATTATTTTTTTATTTTGGTATTTCTCTTTGTTATAATATCACAGTCAATGACCTATGTGAGACCTATCTTGTTGCAGAGAAATGGCACGGCCATTTTAGAGAACGTGTCACCTGATGGAGCAGAGTTACCTGGTTGCCAAGGCCGACTGCAGAACCCAGGTAAACACTGGTCTTCCTGCAGTCATCCGGATAATCACAAAAAGCAACGAGAGGTTAAAATGCTTACTCCAACATTTTTCTGTCCTGCATGGCCTTTCTTACATGTGACCCATTAATGCTGACTCAGGCCATGCACTGGAAGCAGGCTGGTTCCTGCTTCAGTGCAGTGCGCAGAGGGAGGACAAGGAGCTTCAGAGAGCGGCCATTGACAAATTTGTGGAGCTGCCTTATCAATGTGGTTGGGATCAAGAGCATGGTGGCCTATTCTACTTCCTGGATGTGGATGGTCACTGTCCCACACAAGTGAATCAGTTCAAACATGACAGAACCTTCATTCAGTGGTTGATCATTTAGTGTGCAGTGCAGATATGGTTGCTGTTTGGTTAATCACTGTTTTTTTCTTGTGTATTTCATCAGTTGGAGTGGAATATGAAGCTGTGGTGGCCTCACTGTGAAGCTCTCATCGCTTTTCTCATGGCCTACAGTCAAACCAAGAAACCTGAACTGCTGGACAGATTTTTTCAAATATATGAATATACCTTTAGCCATGTGAGTAAATCCAGCTGTACCCAAATTACACAATTATTTCAACATATGTATATTATTAAAATATTATTCACTTGCCTGGCAAGTAGTCACTTAAAGACTGAAAAATAATTTAGCATTAGTATCTAATGGTGAATAAATTGCTAAAAGTTAGACAAAGAATTATGTTTTTTTTAAATGACGTAAAAAATTTATATTTATTTATATATAAGGCCAGTTTAAATGACGTAAAAATATTTATATTTATTTATATATAAGGCCAGACATTTTTAATTTAACTGTGAAAACATTGCCACTTAGAATATGACTTTAACATTGTTTGAATCATTTTTAACATAATTTTAAAATATGCTACAATTTCTTAGATGCGTATATGTGTTTTTTTTATTCTTTATTGCAGTTTCCTGATGTCAAGAATGGTGAGTGGTTTGGATACTTGTCACAAGACGGAAAAGTGGCAATGGATTTTAAGGGAGGCCCTTTTAAAGGTAAGAACATTTTGGAGCTATAGACCGAACTAAATTGAGAAAATGTAATTTTTCTAATCACATTAAATGTTCGGCCATATGTTTCTGTTCCTCTTTCTTCTTTAGGGTTCTTCCATGTTCCTCGCTGTCTTTACATGTGTGAGAGAATTCTGGATGATCTGCTGGGGAGCAGCAGTTGAACCAGCAGTTTACTTGACAACACATTTACTACATTAATATCAGGGTTCTGATTTCTAAACCACTTTATAATCATTAAATAATCTACCATAATTTTCTTATGTTTCAATTATTCATCATTTTAAAGTTGTTTTTTTATTAAACAAAGAAAACGACCTCAGATCACAGGGCATTATATTGAGTTGTAATTTGATATATTATTGCTGCTGATTATTAAATGTTATATTTGAGTAAATGAACTGAAGTTATTTGCTTTGTACTGTATTTATTTAAGATTCATAAATCAGTTTGGTACTTAAAATACTCCAGAGCAGTAGAAGGCGGTCATGCACCAAGGAGCAAATCGTCTTACTCCGAAGAAGAAACCCAGCGTCTAGGCGGCAAGACGAGTTTAGGTTGAACTTGTGTATTTGTTGATCGTATTATTTGATCAAATGAGTGCTTAACACACAAGATCACAAAGAGAAGTCGTTCGTGTCCCGCACTATGCTATGCACCCGATATCAGCAAGTAGACGCTTACAGTGGATAGCAGAACGTTCACGAATGATCAACCCAACCCAGAGTTGTATCTTGGAAGCGAAGGACCTGTGGCCAAGAAAATGGAGATATGTGTTGGTGTGGGACCGTCAAGTAAATCATTTTCTTTGCAGTTTAATTGCATAGCGCTAGCCGGCTATCGAATCCAGCCATAGCTAAGTTGATATTTTTGTATTTCGCGGGCTGTCGCTGGCGTGTTGCGACTTGGGATATGTTTGTAGTTTAAGCGTGTGATTATCAAGGATGTATCCGTTTCATCGCTTTGGCGTTGGCTTCATTCTGAATGACGTTACAGAGGTTCAGTTACAGTAACACTTGAACCGGAAGTAGAAAAACGTAGAGGCCATTCGTGGGGGATGGAATTCCTAATGCTCATGGTTTCTTGGAGAGCAGTTGCCCAAATCTAAAACGAATTGGAATCGACTATACTCATTAAAATTGACGTGTATGGACAAAGAACCAACAGATGCTTTTCTACGCTTGACCCAGTTAGCATTTTGCTTTTTTGTCCTTTTCCTAGTCCTTCAGTCGGAAACATGGGAGACCAAAACTCCAAAAAGTGTCGATGACGACCCCCCCCCGGAAATAGAAAAAAAAGAAGTTAAACAGAAGTTACGCTTTAAGGGTTTCGATGGACTTGTAACCAGCTGTGCAACTCCGGTTTCTCTTTTTCAATAGATGGACGTTGCTTTTGAGCACCATAGGTGAGGTCGAAAGCTGCTGCAACGAAATCGTTGATATTGTCAAAGGTCAATGTTTTGTTGTATTAGATAGTTTCACGTTGTCTTTAAAACTTGGTCAGTTCAGTAAACGACAATCCAACTTACTGGAATAAACTAACATTAGTTTTCGCGTAAACCAAACAAATCTGCCTAAGGCTAGCTTGGAGGATAAAACAGGGAAGCATAGTCCTGTTCGGAATTTGCCAAACAGTGTGTACAAATTTCTGGTAATTTTGTTATATTTGTTGAGAAGTATTTGTTTTTCAACCAATCTATTGTTACTGGATGTGTTTATAAGTTGCAGCTTACACAGTATAGCAAAAAAATGTTTTAAAACCATGCCTGTGTGTTCCCATACTTACTACAAACTGTTTGTTGGTGTTCAGGAAGGTCAGCTGAGCTGTCTGACAAAGCAAAACCTGGATGGGCAGTGACTTTCAAGTTGTCTACTCTGGAAGCTTCTACACCGGCGATGGAGACCAAGAAATTAAAACAAACTGGAAACATCCAGAAATGGTGCGTTTTAATTCTTACGTTTTGACTAAAAATCAGACTCCATCTGAGTAAAGATCAAATTGAATTCATATGATTAATGGACACATTTAGTTCTTTTCATTCTATACAACTTCTCTACAGTGAATAGCAGTAATGCAATGACAGTTGGTCTGAGTACTTAAAATAACTTAACTGTAAGCAGAACTATAAAGGAAAGTGAACTACTGTGTGTCATTGTGACACAGCACACCACTGCACACAACCATATGTGACCTCTGTTTTTAACGCATCACCAAAGTGAACAGTGGGCAGCTTTAAGCGCCCGGGGAGCAGTGTGTGGGGACAGTGCCATGACAGAGCACCTCAGTGGTAACTTGGCAGCTGGTGGACTCAAACCTGAAACCTTCCGAACCTAAGTCCAGTTCCTTAACCACTAATCCACCGCTGCCATAAACAAAACTATAGTTATGTATATCTTATGTAGACTATTAATAAAAGTACTAAACTAATTTGTACTCTAACCCCTGGCTCCAAGCATATTGACAGTTGTCTTTATTTTTCATTCAGATTTACACTGTTACAGTGCTCTCCAGAACAGTACGGTGTGCTTTTATTATAATATGTTATCATAAGATCAGTGGTTAATTTGGTCTCAAACAATAAAATAGTTTGTTGATAATTTATGGGTCAATATATCGTCCAGCAAAATGTGTGTTTACCTTATGCTCTGGGATGTAATGGACAAAGCTGCATGTTATTGATTGCATTACTAAACAAAATCAAAATTTGCCACCACATGTATTGTGAATTTTATTTGTTGTTTTTATTTATTTCAGTTTACCTAGTCCTTTCTACTATGCACTGCCTGTTGTTGACGCCAGTGGAAAAAACACCCTGAAACTTGTTCCTGTGGAAGCAGTCAATATACACAAACTTCTGAAACCTCAACAGATGAATACTGTGACAAATTCTTTGACCAGTCAGCAAACTTTTACTAAACTGCTTTCCTGTGTGAACGCTTTGCCCAAAGAAGTAAGGACACCTCCAACTAATTGTCAGAATCTTTTAAAAAACTCATGCCATCTCCAAGTGACGGTGAAATCTCCAGCTTTACCCAAAGGCCAATGCCTTCAGATTCCACCAAATGCCAAAGTCCAAACACTACCAGCTTCCAAACTTCCTGTAACTATCAAAAATCAACTTTTTAATCCCTCAGCCAACATCTGTCCTGAGCCAGGCGAACACAAAGTTGTCTGTGTGTCACCTGTCACAACTGTTAACAAAGATGTCCCTTCATTACATGATTCAAAACATCATGCATTCAAAATGGCAGCTAAGACTCCAGTTGCAAATGTATCAAAATCATTTCTGAAACTGGTTCCCAAAGCTCCAGACAGACCCCACGGTCCAGTACAGTGGGTGATTGAAGAAGGCAATGAGATGGCTCTGAGTCAAAACCACCTCAATTCATCTGTTATATCACAGATTGTTCACACTGTAAAAGAAAGAGAACGAGCTGCTCAGCAGCAGAGTGGCATCACAAATAGAGATGCTTTGTGTCCGGACAAAGGCAAACCAGACCAGGATAACGCCTTGGTCATGTGCAACGGGAAGGTGTTTTTTGTTGGCAAAAAAAGCAGTGTTCAGAAAAGCACTGAAACGTCTGTAAAACAAACGCAAACGCCACCCAAAATAATTATTCCGGCTAAGTGTGATGAAGTGATTGATCTGTGCAATGACGAGGCTCAGGATACTTCACCACAACCAGCAGCAGGCAGTGTGGCAACTGTTTCCCATCAGGAGGATGACTGCGTGATATTTGTGTCATATATTCCTCCAAAAGCTGAGGATAAGTCCATACACAACTTGTGTAATTCAGGCACAAGCCACATGGACACGGCAACAAGGGCGGAGAGTACAGGTGGTGTTGACCCTGCTGGTAAATTTTCCCATTGTGGGATGGATAAAGGACTTCCTAATTGTAAAACAGGGAGCAAAAGACCCCACAGCATGGTAGAAACAAATGAAAATGACCCAGGTGTTTGTGATTCCACTGTGATAACCATAACCAAGGACGTTACTGTGAAGAGTCAGGAGAGGTCGTCTGACAAACACGGGAGAAAAAGCAGCGTTGACAGCAGAGCAACGTTCTCAAACCAAGAGGACATGGTAAAGAACATTAGATTTTCATTGTGATTATTACTTGTATTTGTCTTTTAGCTTTGGTGTTGAGATATTTTACTGTTTTGATTCTACTCTCAGCTTGCTCTTTTTAATGTAGTGAATGTCTTTGACTTGCAGTGCGAAGAGCATGCAACTGCAGATCGCCACCTGATGCAAGTGTTTGGGATCACAGCCGAGGTGAAGGTTCGCCTGCAGAGGATTGATAACGCCTTAGCTAGCGCTGTTCCTCCAGTGCCACTGAAGAATGGCTCCGTCAGTTTACGGAAGAATCATAAAGTCCTATATGATTCCTGTAAAAACCAAGAAGAAAACCGCTGTAGATCTGTAACCCGACTTACTCAGGATGGTCATGCAGCAGATGGGATACCATTTCAGTACGCTGTTTTCAATCTGAACTCAAGTCGTCGTTCTGATTCAGCAGAGAAATGCCATTCAGGTGCACACACTGGACAAATGTTGGACGTCGAAAGCGCAGCAGCGATCAACTATCTCGAACCAATAGATGAGGACTTCATCGATGCAGACACAGCTCTGGGAAAGACAAAAAACACAAACACCAGGAGAATGGGAAGGACACGAAAACGTACCATGTGTCGGTGCTGCGTGCCTGGAGCTGAAATGCCAGACGTAAAGATTCAGATGAAAAAGTGAAAAATACAGGCACATGAAAAAAAGCTGCCACCCAAAACAGTGTCCTTTTGGGTGATTGGGTTCCCTCCACAGTTGAAAAACATTCAGTTTGTTTCTGTCTGTCTGTTTTTTGATGACATTGGTTGGACACTGTTATGTCCAATACCTTAGATCAGCTCTGGTTTTGGTAACCCTGTGAATGAATGTGTCTGGAGTGTTGTCGAGGCTCCACCTTCTCAGCCAACATCCTCTGACCTGCTGCTAATACATTTTATTAAACATTTACAGAACAGATAATCAAATAAAAAAGGAGTATTATGGTATGGAAATTCAAAAAAAAGATTCTGGTTATTTTTCTACTTTTTTATCTGTTAAGCGTGTAAAACTGCAGAGTGATGGTTAGTCCAAATCATGAAGATTGGGGAACAGGTTAGTTGGACACTGCAAACCAACCATAGATATCAATGTGAATGTAGTGAGATGTTTGTCTGTGTCTATATATACTGTATACGGCCTTTTGATGAGCCGGTGAAAAGATACATTAGTTAACATTTTACTAATGGCACATTTAGTTATGTATTTTGTAATATCACTTTAAAAGAAATAAATTATTATATAATTGGTTATAAAGTTGTGTCTGCCTCTGTGTGTATCCCAGTCCAGTCTAGACATGCTGGATTTTATGTTTCTTTGTTTTTTCCTTTTTACTGCACTAACACTGACACTTTAAACATGCCATTCTGTGATGGGCTCAATTGCTCATGATTCTTAGAAATCAACGTCTTACTTTTTTATTTGCACTACACATTATTTTGCATTAATTTCTATTGACAGAAACAAGATTTTATTATATTCTTGTACATGTGTTCCTATGAGAACACTCATTTTATGTTAGAAGTAGTTTCCATTCAATTTTATTTTAATTGTATATGTGTCGTAGTGGCCGTGTTGGTTCATCAAGGTTTTACATTAGTGAACATTTTGACAGTTTATATAGGGCTACCGTATGTCTATAATATTTTTTAAGTGAAGTGTTATTTAACGACGTCTAAGCCCATGAAGCGTATCTACTTTTAAACCTTTACCTTTAAATTTTGCTTAATGCTTTGTCCAGGTGATGGCGCTAGTACACCCATAACAAGAAAACATGCCAGTTAATAGTGCTGAGGAAGACAAGGCAGTTACGAAAAGGAAGTAGTGATTGCTTACGACATTTCCAGCGAGGTAAGAAAAACATTTCCACCTTTTATTATGTCTTTGTTTTAAACACATTTACAGTTCTAGTGCGAGACTGTGTGTTACATTAAAAGAACGTCGATGTTTGCGACAAAAGCGAACCTTGTTGAATTATGATGAATCCTTACATAATTCAAACAAATCACATTACCGGTACATATTTAATACTGGCTTCTTAATTCTCCGTTCTCACAGCCTCATGTCAACTACCACGGGCTTTATACACCCGGGTGTACTTTCGGTAACAGTACACATTATCAACATAATTACAGTGTATAGTAACTGAACAGGAAAGTGAAAGCTGATAGTTACGTTTCAGCTGAAGAAAAACCTTTAGGATTAGTTACTACAGCTACAGGTAAATGCATAGTGACGCTTCTAAAAAATATGTTTTAAATTCCATGACTTAAACCTTGGCCTGGTATTTTCTAATTTACTAACAGATTTAGTTATTACTAATATGTTTGTTTTTTAAGCTTCTCCCAACGCAGAGACATTATTTACACCAGTAGATTGAAATGTTTATTTCTCCTGTTTGGAATCTGCTATGGACATTTAAAAAAAATCTAAAATTGTTTGGTTCTTTATGTTGGACTATTAACAGAAATACATGATATTTGAGAAGCAGGCCATGAAGTCATGACTTTGTATGGGTCCCCAAAAAAGAAGTTACTTCTCCCCAAATGTTAAACTAAAAAAAAGTCTTTGTATCAAAACGTCCTAGCTCTAGCAGACACTGTTATGCTTCAGTAAAATATCTTTGTGCTCACAGGTAAAAACACAAAACATGGACTCCCTCAAAAGACTGGAAATCTACATCCCAGTGGAGGCTGAGGTGAAGAGCATCCCTCTGTGGAGCTTACCTTCCTCAGTGCTCAGAAGAATGGGCCTCACCCCAGGTGACTCCAAGAAGATGAGTGGTTCACCAGAAGGCATCTGGATCAGTCCAGCAGTCATACGCAGGAAAGGGGAGAAACAGCAAACAGGGATTGTCCCGGCAGAGAGCTTTTCTTCGCTGCTCAGCTCAGAACGCCAAAGAGAACAGGATCCAGTTCGAATGTCCTTTGTCTCCTCCCAGAAAGCAGCTTACAAAGTGCTGAAGAATATTTCCAGTGAGAAGACTTCCTGCACGTACAGGTCTCGCAGTAGCCCACTTCCTCAGGGTTCACCTAAGCAATTCTACCAGAATGCAATTGTGATCTACAAGGGCTGCATTTATCTGTCCATCAGGAGAAAGAAACATAGCAAGAAAAAAAACAAGTGTGACTCACAGCTAGGTGATGGCTCCTCCGTTTCTTCAACGTCATCTGTAAATCAAAACACGGTAATATCACATTCCCATCAGAAAAAAACACAGTGCCACATGTTTGTTAAAAAGGAAGCTAGTATGTCTTTCTGGGTTGATAAATATTGTTGCTTTTGAGGATGAAAAAGAAAATTTCGTATTATAACATAACTTTCGCTCTGTCCTACATTTGTCAATGCCTTGCAAAGCTACTATTTGCTTCTGCTAAATACATGAATGTATTTATCTGCTAAATACATGAATGTATTTAGCAGATGTTTTTATTCAAATATATTTTAAAGAGGAGGACCACTTGTTAGGAAAGCAGGGCTTCCAGAGGGTGAGAGCGCAGAAGGAGAAAGTGCTAGGACAGGAGGTGTTCTCTGAAGAGCTGGTTCTTTAAGAACTCCTTGATGATGGGCAGGAACTTTTTTAGCCACATGTGTCAGGGATGGAATGCACGGTTTGAGTAAACGGCTTCATTGCAGTGATTTTGAGCATCTCATCTGTGCATCAACATTGTCTGTCTTTAACTTTTGTCTGTGTTTCAGGTGCCGCACCATGAAAACCCACTTCAGAAACAACGCATCTCTTGTAAAGTTCCCCACAGCAAAAAGAACAAGGACAACACCAGTGTGTCTCCATCTGAGACCACCTGCCCTGGCTCCAAGTCCCCTGATAAAAAACTCAACCTGGAACGCATCCATTACCAGAATATTGGAAAACCAAAAACAGCACTGGGTCCACCTGTCTTGGAGTCATTCCGGGTTGAGCCTATAGAGGGCAGCAGTGACCCTGGTGAATATAATGTGCAGGAGCTGAGTGCTGGAGAAGCTGAGAGCCAGGGTGACATGTCCGTAGGCTGTGCGGAGGTGTCCCACAGCTCGAACACCAGCAGAGGTTCACTGATCACTTCACTGGTGAAGGACTGTGACTTTGACGAGCTGGTACAGGAGGAGAAGATCGCCCTGATGAAGGCCAGACTGAGAGAGAATGAAGCTGCTCTCAACAGCTTATAGCCATCACAACTCAAGTACAGTACTGAGTACTAGTTAGCAGTTATCACGCCTGCCTTACACATCAAGTACAGTACTGAGTACTGGTGTAGCAGTTATCACGCCTGCCTTACACATCTGCCTTATACTCAGAATGTACTGGGTTCAATCCCCTGCGGTAACGCATACTTAGTGGAAACGAAAACGCAGTCTGTGTGAGTTGCAAAGACACACCGTGAATTTCCCCATTATTGGAAGATTAATTAAACTTTGAGGAATTCTAGTATATTAATTAAATTTCTAAATACTGTGGTGCTGCCACACAGGAACATTGTGTGCTGATACCTTAGTCCACATGTGTCAAACTCCTGGCCTGGGGGGCAAATCTATATATATTATATATATATAGATATAATCCCCTATATATTAGCAGAATTTGTAGTATTATGCACTATGTCACAGCACATTTTGTTTTGTTTTTTGTCTTTGGCCTCGGAAAAAAAGATTTACGTTAAAAAAGGAACTCGAAAGGATAAAGATAGAGAGACATAATAAGGACCAAATACCACTGATGTGTGTCTCATTTCAAAGTTAATTTCTTATGTGTTTTATAATATTAAGCTTTTCTTCTGTATCTGTCCAATGGAGTCTGGGACAATAAACCCTTAACATTGAGCCTTTGTCTAAATATCATGTCAGAATCTCATCCAGCTGCACTGACACTGCACTGGTAAATCATTGAACGTGTGTGTGTGGATGAGATATGTGTGTGTGTGTGTGTATGTGTGTGTGTGAGAGAGAGAGAGAGAGAGAAGATCTATTATAGAACCCTCCTCCTGCCTGACTATAAGTGTGCAGCTCAACAGGAGTGGGTCTAGATGGACAGGATGCACTCCTCGTGCTGCTCCTCTGCCAGGAAACAGACACTCACGGTGAGTTCTGATTCTAACACTCACTTCATCAAATCAGCAACGAGAGATTCTGTAGCTCTTCGAGGGGAGGCTTGACTTATTGTAAAAGAAAGCCCATTTCTGATATGTTTATTTATAAATGACTTTTTTTCATGTCTGGATATATCGTTGTGAAAATGTGTTATATGTAGTCTTCAGACTAACTGATGTATTAATATGGTAAAAAAAAATTATAGAAATAACATCTTTACTGAATAAATGACAGAAGTATGCTACTTGTACTTATTAAAGTAGTACTTAGTAAAAATCTGGTTTAATGAGTCTTGTGTTATATTGTAAATCTGGTTTAATGAGTCTTGTGTTATTGTTTGTTTTGTTTTTTTTTGTTGTATTATTCATGTGAATTCAGTTTTTATTTTTTTGCTGAAGCAATGGCACATTCAACCGTAACATAAATGAAACTAACTAATTGTTGAACATTAAGTTTGGAATGACGTTTTTCTTGATGTTGCCTCTGCAGGTGCTGTGTGTTCAGATCTTGTATCTGGCAGCCTCAGAAGCAGCCATAAGCCGCTGTGGCTCAGATCTCATCGAGGATCTCAAATTTGTGTGTGGGGATCGAGGATTCAGCTTCGGTAAGTTTGTCCTCCAGTTCAGACTGCTATAAGATTATGGATGAGATATATATATAAACCAAAAAATTGAAATTTAGTCAAAGGATTAATAAACACATTAGAAAATAGGCTGGGATTGACCTAAACGATAACTAAAATAAAATGTCAAAACAAAGCTAACTCAAGAAAAACAAGAATTTAAAGATCTTTAAATATTAAGTTTTATGACTAAACAAGAGCACTGCCTCCAGTGATATCCACGAGAAGCACGTGATTCGTTTGTTCTTTATTTTCACCAACAAACGCATCTCCAACGAAGACTTCTTGTGCTTGTGGTTCTGGACTACTCACTTACGTAAAAACAAAGCAAGGATAAAGAGAAGCACTTCTAACTGTGATAGGGCCAAATATCAAGGCTACTCTCCCCCTGTGTGTGCAGCATAGGTGTGTACCTCAGATATGGTCACGGACATCACTTCCAGTGCAGAACACTGCACTTAGACTGAGCAAGTTATCAGCATCACAGCAACAAAAGCAGTCCTGCCCATGTGTTTACAGCAGAACCAGCCACAATACTACTGCACGACGAGTGCCAAATTCAAGGCAATTAAATAGCTTGTCCGTTAACAACCGAAAAATATTAAAATTGTTTTTAAATGTTCCAAGAGGGGATCAAAGGAATGAGTTTTAGCAGCTTGTAGCACGTAGTTGATGCTTGTAATATGTCCTCATATGATTTAAATTAAAATCATATCATTAGACTGTTTCTGTGACATCATCCCAGTCGTTTTCCAACTAACTCTGGCCTTGAGGCCAAGTTTTCATTGTTTGCCATCTGTGTACGAGGAGTCAAGCTGTCACAGCTGTTTGTTTTTACAATTTGTACAAGCTGTGTTTTCAGGACCACTGTGTCACTTATACTTGGAGTGGAGTTAGTCAAATCTATGCACATTTTTAGTAAAGATTAGCCTTTAATTAACTGTTGACTATTATTTCTGTCTGTCTTTGCTTTTTCCCCCCAAGTATTATCTATTCTAGATCACAAACTAGATATTTAATGTCTAATAAACTAAATATTGCAGAGAAAACAACTCTAGCTATATATTCCATATATTTGAGCAAAGTTCATAGAAATGTTTAATAGGTCACATTCTCTGCAATATTAACTTAGAAAAATGCTATTCTTTAGTTGCATGCAATTACTGTATAAAGGTACTTGATCATTTTTCCCCACTGTCCATAGAACTACCCAGAGACCCTTTCACCTGATTACTTTTCTCCCATTCTGACCAAGGCCACCTTCTCCATCTGCTATCGGAGCGATGTCAGTCCAGCAACCCTAGTGCAACCATAACACTGTGCCTCAGTGTGCGATAGCTTTATTGTTAAAACATTGCTTATCTCTAATAGGTTCAGTTGTCACAACAGACACAGAGAAGCCAGCATGTATATAGCCACTTGTGGGACCAATGCAAAGTAAAACAAATAATCTCTGATCAGAGCTTCTTGAAGATTGCAGTTCACTCCAGTCAAATCAGCAGTGTTTATCTGTGTTGTTATCCACTGCTCTGTGTTTCTTCATAAAAGGCCCTGAAATTAGTCAAGTGTTAAATAAGCCAAAAAAGGATGTCCTGGGTCTGTCGTGTTTAAGTAGGGTCTCATGTTGCTGCAGTTTTTTTAAAAAAAAGCTTTTATTTTCTCCTCAGCTTCAGGGAGTAAAAGATACGGTCCTCGATCTAGAGGGACGGGCATCGCTGATCAGTGCTGCCGTCCTGCCGGCTGTAACCTTCACGTTCTGGAGCAGTACTGTGCCAAACCAAAGATCCTGCAGCAGCAAAGCACAGCATCACCAGCTACGACCACCGCTGCACACTCAACCACACAGTCAAATATGGTGAGGATTTGAGTCACATGCACTTCATGTTTCTGCCACAATTATGTCCCCTAATTATGATGATATGAACAACCAAGTGAAAATGAGTCGCTGATCAGTTGTGGCAGGACTCTTTGCTATCTCTCCTCGCCCTTGAATCAGCTCACTGTGTCCTCTCTCTGTCTCACAGAAGCAGCAGACTGAAGCAATATTTCTCAGGACGCTTTTAGGCCACCTGAGGTTTCCCAACAGTCAGAAGAAGAAGGCTTTAAGAAACAAAGCACAGCCCGGAGGCAAAGACAGAGGGTCATCGACACCCAACAGACGTCCACTGCGTCCAACCCAGGCTCCGGCTAAAGAGAATGCAAGCAGATTTAAATCGTGACCTATAATCTTTTATAAAATGTACAAGTTTGCAATGACTGTGTAAGAGTCAGCGAGAAAAAAGTCAGTTTCCGGCAGACGTATTCAATATGGCTGCATAGGTACAAAGTGGACTTCTCGCCCCAAACCTAAATTCACGTGGGTCAGATCTGCACACAAACCCATAGAAGGTCCACCTTTTGGCGCACTTCACATTCACTTTCACCTTCAGTGCCTTATTAGTGACCAGTAACATGTTATCATCACTGTACGAAGCTCCACAAACACCAAGACAGTTTGTATATGTGCACATCTGTGAATGTCTGTCATTCTGGTCATGAAAAGTTTAACAAAAAATTATTCAGTGTTTTTTGTTGATATGAGACTGTGAGAAAAGACACTTGTTTAAGTTCTTGTCAAAGGTAATAACTCATAAGCCACAGCTAATGCACCAAAATCTATTTTCCATTTGTTTATTTCTTCATAAAGCCTGTGATTGTAATGAAGAGTCACTTACTGCCTCTGTTTACATGCAGTGACACTGGTCTAGCACTTTGACGGAACATGTAGCTGTGTTACTCACAAAAAGGCTGGTTGTACTCGTGTTCTTTTATTTAGTTAGACCATGTACTGAATTTTTGTACGTTTTCTAGAACTGATTGTATTTCATTGTTTTCTTCTATCCAATTCCATGTTGTTGTTTTTGAAAGCTTTATATACCAGAAATCTATTCCTTATTTATTTCACTGTGATTTTGTTAAATAAATCTTTTCAAAGCCTCACTGTTCACTTGGTGTCATGAATTTATTCCAAGTCTTTGATGAGTCTTAGTTAGAAGTAAATATAACTATAAAAACAATAAAATGTGATGAGGGGCCAGCAGTTTAATGAGCCAGGCTTATTTAAGATTCTTAAAAAAAAGTGCATTCAACAATACTTGTACTTCTACAAAAATATGTAAATTGATGGACTGTAATCTCTCAGAGTGGTGCTTTGGCCCAGAGGCAATGTCTCTGTCATTGGTGTGGAACCCCAGGGTTCACTTCCTGAGCAAGGTCGACTCCCGGTTAGGGCGGTTGGTACCTTCCAGTGGACTCCCCACCCGCTGTAGGGTTGACGAGGGGCTGGTGCGGTGTCGGTCGTGGAGACCGGTTCCCCCCGGGACCTGGTAACGGATAAGCGGACAAAGATGGATGGATGGATGATCTCTAAGATTCACAGGTATGACATCAAATGAAATTACATTCTCAGCTGTAACACAACATTGTCTTTCGTTTGTCCAGGCTCTGTCACTTATTTTAATCTTACTAAAAAAACAAGTTCACAAAACGTATCTTTGTGTTTTGACGTCCAATGCTGCTGCAATCATAAACAGTTGAATCATTTTTCTCTGACATAACTAAAGGCTATCTCAGCCTTCTTTGTAGAGAAGACAGATAAACTAAAGTGACCCTTGAAAGCCTTCTGAGCCAAATCACAAAACAAAGAAGAAGATTTGAATTTAGAGTTAGCCGCAGGTGTAAAAGAGGTGTGAGTTTAGTTCGCTGCACAATTAAGTAAATCAAAGCCTGTGGGATAAAAATATGATTATTATTATTATTATTGTAATATTGTAATAACCCAACAGCAGTAAGACCAATAGCTGAACTTCTGGACTTGATGCATGGTAAAGTTTAGCCAAGTCCAGTCAGATGGTCAGGTGCTGCTGGCTTTTTGAGCCACGACAAAGTAACAGCTGCTGTGTTGATAAGACAGATGGGAGGGTTTTTTTCTTCTTCACTTGCGTCACAGCTACTGTAGATAGTGTTATTTTCTCACATCTTTTCCCATGCACCGAAGTTTGAACAAAGCTTTAACTCACACTTGATTTTCAGGGCCATGCGTTTTACATAAATTGATGAAGGTGATGTCAAGTTTGGTTACACTTGACAAAATGACATATTCAACAAGCTTTGCAGTTCACTGATGGAGTGCAACTTTTTCCTGTGTTTATCAGTTTTACAAATGTGTGGCGAGAATAAAAGGTAAAGACTCCTTTTGGAAATAAAAGGATAAAATGAAATAATTCACAGATATATCTAGAGAGCAATAACAATTCAGCACAAAAAAAAAAGAGTTAACTAAAGTGATCTAATGTGAGGCAAACGTAGTGCACACTCTGATGCATTGACTAAATTCAAAACAGTGGAATGTAAAAGTCAAATGTATTACTACTTTAATATTAAAGTATCACATTTAGCTAGAAAATTATGTTAAAGTATGACTGAACCACTGACCCCTGAACAAGGAAATACAGCACAATGCTCCCAAAAGTGATGTCCATTTAATTCTTACCATTTGCCAAGACCTGAGTTCTGTTTGTGTAGCAACCAATTATTGCTTTTTATTTTAAATCAGTTTGATTTCGATTTTTCTAGATTTGTTAGTTTGCATGGTATTTTATTTTGAAAAACAATCACTTCCGTTCGATAGCTATAAAAATTACAAAGTAAAAAACAGTAACATTAGAAATGTGTGTATTATATAAAATAACAGTTATAATAATCAACAAATAAATAAAGCAAATAACAAAAATATAATATGTGTATTAATGAATACAATCATTTGTATTGAATTTGTATTTGTCCTGATTACTTAGCCTGATTTAATGCTGAGTATGTGCAGTATGCACAGTACTCAGCATCTGTATAATACTTTGGTGAACTGAGGTTGATTTGACAAAAGATGTGCTTTATAAAAATAATAATAAACACTTTGACTGGACTTAACTTTTATGGAAAGGACTAAACAACTTAAATAGAAATAGTACAAAATGGCTTACAAAAATACAATACAAAAAGTACAACTTACAGTCAGCGTAAAAGCTAAGAATTTAGCTGTTGTACTTAAAGTTACAAGTTGCTGGATTTATCACCATCTTATTGTCACATTACCTCCTTGTTCACTCGACTTTAATGTTCCTGTTCAAACGTAAAACACAAAATATATCTGTAGTTTGTCTGTTACGAATTATTCATTACTAATTCAAGACTGGCTGATCCAAAATGGCCGCCTCTGTAGAATTACAGTAATACCACTCCTGGTTAATATAATGAAGAGCTCATATTCAGGCAATAGAAATAACAAATGTAAAACCATTTGAGTACATTAATAAACCCATCAGTAAAATTATATTATTCCATTTATACCAAAAGAATAGAATATATTTCATAGTACATAAAGAAACTTTAACATGCTCTCTTGATCGTTCTGTTTTCTATCTGCCCAGGTTTTGTTAAGTAAGATTAAGAAAAATTGTGTGATCTTAGACGATATTAAAATAAACCCCTAAAACTTCCCCTTATGCAACAGTACAGTGATGTACAAGGATACAAATCCACTGTATTACCTTGCTCCTGATAGGGTTTCATATCTAAACTTTAGTTTGTATTATGTAAGATTTATCTGTGCTGTAATGTACTTAGTTGTTGTTCTTTTGGTTCAGATACATGCTGGAAGCAGCATCTTATGGGACAAGGACTTTGTGATTAGTTGTTGTCTGTGACCCATTTCGAGAATATCCAGACTGTATGGCTCTGAATGACGTCCTGATCAACTGTGTCCATTATCGCATCTGACAGCAGAACAGCTACATGCAGTAACACCCTCCATAAGAGATAATACTGCAAGATAAAATGTCTATATGTGGATTTTCTTCTGATTGTGTGCATCTCTGTTTACATATTCAATGTTCTTCATTTTAAAGAAAATTAAGAATTAAGAATAGAAACTGTACATAATACGTTTTTAAACATAAAATTACAACAACCCGAGGTAAATGTAACGCATTTAACATTCATATTTATAAAATCAATGAATATTAAGTAATAATACTATTACTTTATATTTATTTTATAGTAATATTTGGACACTGTGTGAAATGGCCCAACGTTGTTCACAGGGTTAATTATTGTAAATCCAGCCGTATTATTACTGTTTTGGTAAAGTTTTTCTTTTAAATGTTATTTCCTAGAAACATGACATCATCTGACAGTCGTTTGTTGTATGACATAATCAGGTATGTCGCCATGTTCTCTTGGGTCGACCTTCAACAAGTCCAACTTTGTATATTAAACCACTAGAGGGCACTAGAGTACAATACATGACGTATTAAGCGTGTTTTTAACTTTAGTAGAATTAGAAAGACGCTTGTCTGGGTCTGTGGCTGGGCAGCAGGTGTCGCTGTATAACCTATTGCTAATGAAAAAGTCCACATGCGCCTAGTGTTCTTCCTTGTAGCTAAACAAATATGTGACAAAATGCAGAGTGTATTACATAATAATTTGGTTTTAAAAAAGTGTGATGGCAGTTAATTTGAGTAACTATATCTTAGCTGTTTGGGCAAAACTACGAGATATAGTACAGTATATTACTTTTACAATTTATGTTTATGTATTTTGGCTAACTCTGAGTTACCCTTTGACTACTATTAAGTATTGACTATTAAGCCAATATTAAGTTTACGTTTGGCCAAAACATCTGTTATTTTGGTTATCCTTTCTCTTTTTTTTCAATAATCTCCTCGCTAACTTTCAGTTTTGGTGTATTTAGACTCAATTTTAAACTTATTCATTCATTTCATTTTGAGGTTTCAGTTTTTGCAGATACTGCTTGGTTAACAGTTAGGTAGCAATACTAACACTTTTGTTATACAATGGCAACAAGATGAAGCTATAAAAGCTTACGTTGACCTTCAAATTTCTGACCCTGTTTATTTATATCTTTATGTCACTTCTTTTGCAATGCATTTAAAGAAATTCTGTTTTTGTAGTTGCTACTTTACAGCATTCCCCTGATCCGACACTGTCGGTAGAGTAAGTGTACCATGTTACTAAAATTAATCATTGTCCACTTCCAGTTTATCACTGATGAATTGGTCTCAAAGGTGAACAAACAGGTTTCAGTGTATAATAAACACAGTCACAGTCACCTACAGTGCACTCATGTCACTGCGTCAGTGTGCTGTGGCTTCTCAGCGAAAGAGGAAATCCCAGCGTGTGATTGAAGTTTACCATCTGCTCTTTTAACAACTGGTTCCTGGTACAGTGCACTTGTTGCTTTACAACCAACGACTGGTAATAACTGGCTCATGCTAGGAAAAGAGACTTTTCTAGTTTTTTATTATTATTATTATTATTCAGAGTGATGTCAAATTTGTATCGTTGATAGTAGCTCACTCCAGTGGATGAATCATTTTGAATCACAGACATGGACAAGTCGCAAGTGGTGAGTTGTGTTTTGTTCTTTTATACAAAGTTGTTTTCACTCTGCTGTTATTGGAGTGACACTTTGATGCTCACAACAGAACATTAGGAACTTTAGGTTTCTGTGCAATAGTCAGAGTCCTGGTAGACCAAATTGCTGTAAGCGTGAGAAATGTCATTTCCTTCAATTCATAAGAGGAATGGAGAACTACAAGCAGAAATCACCTTTTACTTCTGTAACTGTAGTAAACTTCACAAGAGCACATAAATTTGATTCAAATTCAAGTTGTCCTTTGAAAAAACACAGAACAGACAACCACAAGCACGTAGTTAAGGTGCTGCAGTTTGATAACCAACAGGAAACCAACCTCACTGTGGCCTCCATACGGTTGAAGTTGTACTTGAAGTGAAACTGTAATTTTTTTTTACAAAATCTTTGTTCTCTAAATACTGATTTATATTTCTGATATTATTTTTAAAATGATTAATTCTTTAGTTTTGAGTCTACTTTATTTTCTATTACAATATTGATCTATTAGCATTAAATTAAACTAAGTGTCTTTTATGAATTATTGCATGCTTTGTTGTCAGAGGAAAAGTGACTAATTTCACACCATATATAAAATCTGTTTGTCTGTATCCACAACAATAAAGACAACAGTTTTCTCCACGTATCTATGGTGTCTTTCAGACAGTTGTTTTATTATGACACAACGCATCCTTGACTCAGAGGAAAAGTACGTCACTGTTTACAAATCCTGCAACAGCTCTGTGTCTGTGTCAGTGCAGCTGTATGCAATAACAACACAAAACCATCAGTGAGGGTTGGAAAGGTCGAAAAGTGTTTTTGTGTCAGAATACTAAACTAGAGTTTATAAATGACTGATTCTTCTGCACCAAAGTCCATTGAGAAAATAAACAAATTCTGCTCAAAGAGATGCAGGACCTGCGGGTCTCCTACAACCTTATTTGGTATGATTTTCTATGTAAAATAAACAACTACGTTCAAATACCAGAGGTACACAACAACAGATTGCCGCAATAGAATAAAAACTGCTTTGTGTTACTATATAAAATCACTGGTTTTGTCAATGGACGTTGGTGTGAAGCGGAGAACAGGTCTCTTTTCCTCTAGTTGAGATTCGGCCACAAAGCTGACTATTATACTGTGAATATATTTAATATCCCTATGCTGTTTTCCAAAAAATAAATGTGTAGTTATTTCTAGTATCTATAATGAAAGGCTGATGTGTACAGTTGACTTTAGTTGTTGGTTTCATTTTCTTTTTCTCATTAGGATCAGCCACTGTCTCCAAACAGCAGGAGAAGTTTCAGTTTCTCATCTCTCCGTATCAAAAGTAAGACCTGTTACACACACATGTAAAACGCCTTCAACTGACATGAACTGAGAAAGCAGGGATAGAGACACCTCTAGTCATTGCCTGTCATGTATTTTTATTCAGAAAGACACAACAGTAATGACGAAGGTGTGTCCATGCGGAGGAGAGGGCTGAGGTCATTTTCATCATACCGGGAAACATCAATACAAGGTAGGCAATACAATTTCACATCTTCACTTTGTTTAAAAACACAACAGGGATGTCAGCTAATATTGAATGGCATTTGACATTTTTGACAATTTCACATAAAGGTACTTGTGACTCTATTTTTATTAGATCGTGACCTCTCCCAAGGGTTTATTGATACTGGCGACCAGATAAAGACAGGTACTGTGCCATAACAAGGAATTATATTATATAGTAGTGTTCAGGGCTTAGTTAGCACTGGTCTATTTTGTGTTAAGAAACTCATAATAGGACATCCCTGTGGTAACCAGCACTTTACACAATTTAAACTTGTCCGGAGCAGTCGTTGTCAAGATATTTTAACTAAACATGTTTTAGATCTTGTTTAATTATATAATAGTATTAGTAAAACACTACTTATTCCTTATATTACAAATACGCTTTTGAGGCTATATTGTCATGTGGATATTGAAAATGCCAGCAGTCATTCAAAGCAGGACAGGCCAAGGTAATGTTGTTTTAGCTACTTCTTCACTTTTAGCATAAAAACTTGTTTTTATACCCAGCATGCTTTTTTCTGCTTTAGTGCCACCTGCTGAGTCAATTTTCCACTGGTAAACAGCTACTTGAACTCTTTTTTGGGGGGGTGGTGGGGTATATTTTAATTTAACAAGATCTTCTTTAGTTTTAAATTGTAGCACAAGTAAAATTACACCGCGGGACGTTGGTGGCCCGCTTACCATTAGTTTGTGTTACAGGGAGACGTATGAGTCATACTTCAGAGAACGTTTTTACGCATGTGACGTGAACGCAGCTTAGAGCCGGGATCAGCAGTTTAGTTTTTTTGGCTGCGCTTCACGAGAGCACGCGGATCCTGTGAGAGTGCGATTAGTGAGAGGCAGAAAGATGACATGTAGGAGCGGGAGAAGAGACGATGGACAGCCGCTTCTGTGTCACTGAAGGTCCGTGGTGTGCTTGTGTCAAACAGCCATGAGTGAGACGGTGACGAGGAGGAGAAAAGAAGTAGTGAAGAACAACAGATGGAGTGAGTGAACAGACAGGAGAGAAGAGAACACTGTTTTCTCCTAACACAGTAAATATATATGTATTATACATTTATTAGAATGGGAATATTCACTGTTCAAAGGCACATAATTATTTGTGTGAACAAAAAGTTAGCCTATTTTCGAACACGTCTCCGCTCTACCTGTTACAAGGTGCGGTGTTTGTGTGCTCTGTTACATCCGGGTATTTGACGTGTTCCTATTGCTTATTGTCTGTTAACGAGAGCTTCTTTGAATTAATGTTTCAAGGTAATATTTAAATGTAGAATTAGTTTGGTCAAAGTCCTATAATTGTTCGTTGACCTATATTTCTAGTTCTAATTAGCAAATTGTGGTTGCAATGAGAAGCAGTACTTTCACTAAAATATAATGTTCGATTTTTTAAAATTTAATTTAAAACGAAAACAATGAAATTTGGAACTTTATGTAATGTGAATAAACATGTTATGGGGTAAAATGTTTATTCAGTATAATGGAATCAGGTGCAAATGTAAACATTGCTCTTTCAGGGTTTCTTTTTAGGGCAGAGATGTCACCCTCTGCTTCCTGTAGTTAACAAGTTAAGTTTCCTTTAGTTCCCTTCCCTGTAGAGGAGCACTTTCTCTTATACAATAAATTTGATGATTTTTGATGGTTAGTTTCTCGTTAATGCTAGTGTAGTTGGTTGTCATTTGCTGCTGAGCCTTTCACTCTTTTTTATTACCATTGTGACCCTTTATCAAATAATATAAGTTATTTATATTTTTATATGCATTTCATCATTATGTACCTAGTTGAGAGGACAAAATTAAATCAAATTATGTTATTTATATTTTTATATGCATTTCATATTGCATTATATTGGAGATTAATAGAAAATATGCTTATTTCTGAAGAGAGAGATTAATAGAAACTATTAATAGAAAATATGCTTATTTCTGAAATGACTCTCCAACTTAAAATAAAGAGAGATTAAATGGTGATCTAATATGACCATATTTAACATGGTTATTATGTGGGTAAAAAAAACAAACTAGTTTTGCTGGAACAATTTTCCCCTTCAGCATGTTTTATTTAACAGAGAGCTGGGAAATTGACACTGAATGTTCTCTCTGTCTTTAGGAGTTTGTCTGCGTGGTTAACGACCAGTCACAACAGCCTATCACCATAGAAGACAGTTACAGTAATTACAGGGTATAAACAAAATTGAGCAAACACACAAACACACTTTGGACAGATTTTTATTTGAAATCCTCAAGCTGCTTTGACATTGGTAAACACAGATAGTGAACAGACGACAGACTACATGCAGTTCTGTTCAACCCTCGGTGGTGTCTGCACCATTCCTTTGCTCTCCGTGCTGACAGCATTGTGTTGTAACATGTTGAACAGCTCCGGGGCGTGAAGCTGCAAAGCTTTACACCCACATCATGCCACTGCTATTGAAATAGTGCAAACTCCTTGTCCTTTCTGCAGAGGTTAAACACACTGTGGACTCGAAGAAGGGTTCTTGTCACCAGTCAGGGAAGTGAATAACAGAGAAAGGAAAGACCAGGACAAAGAGTCACAGCTGTAGGTCACTGAGGATATGATTACCATTTATCGACTGTATGTTGCAGTGTAAGTGGCAATAAATGTTAGTTTATGTTTGACAGCAAACCAAACATTATAATTGACAACCACAAACCAACAAAAATGTCTTTTGTGTCGCAGTGTTACCGCTTTTGTCTCACACAGGGTGGTGGTGGTTCAAGGTTAAATTTGGCAGCTGGTTTTTATTCAATTTCAATATTCAGTGATTATACATTTTGGGGGCAGAATAAAAATTTAAAAAACCCAATGTTGTGAGACCACAACTAATGGAATATGATTGTGGAGATAGATGGGTGCCCCTGGCCTGGGGTCGTCAGAACCCTACAGAGGAGGTGCGGAAAGGGGGCAAGAGATATGTGGTTGTGGGACAACTTCTTCTATACATTTACACACAAGTACGTGCACGTGTGGGAGTGAGGGAGGCAGTTGTTTTTTGCTACTTGGAAGGAGGTCCAAATGTTTGAATCAAAGCTTTGACAATGAAGCTTGAGAATTCTCTCACAAGCTTCATTCTCTGTGGTTGGATGAGTAGCACTGTCTACTGTCTACTGGTGAGCCCATTAAGTGACCCCAAAAGTCCGAACTGGACTTAAACATAAAGCTAGAAAAGCAAATGTTAGAAAAGCAAGGCTGAGGCTGGTTGTGCTAAGGAATAAAGAGAGATAGTGGCTACAATGGACAAATAATACTGGTGAGGGAGCTGCCAGAGAGGAGTGTCTAATGAAGGTCTTTTTATGTGATGAAGGTGAACATCCAGATGGAGGGCTGAGATGGTGGCAGATGTTCTGGTGTTTGGAACTCTAAAGGTAGCAGAAAAAATAACAGCTTTTGTGAACTTCAATAGAGCTTATCTCTGTGGTTCAGGTTCATTATTCTGTTCTTTTTTTAATCGTACTGAATGTGTATTCTGAATGATAGTTGGTCACAGGTGTCTCTTCTGATTTGCAGGTATTACAAGCTGACTCTTGTCAGTAAATGTTGTTTGTTTTTTAACAGAAGCAGGA